ATTCAATTAAACATCAGTTTAAGTTCCTTACCTAGTTCATTACCGCTTTTTTTCTATACTTATCATCTTAGCATAAGAATATAGGAACTCTTATAAATATTTTTTTAAAATATCTCCTACATCCATCTACTTTGATTATATTCGCTATTCATTGTATATTTCTTATGAATTCTTCTTGCTAGTTCTCTGGAGAGAATGTGGAATATATCTATTGTCCTTATAAAATCAATTAATTTGTAATATACTAATTGGTGTTTTTAAAAAAAATTTTATAACAGATTGAACTATAAATAAATTTTGAAAAGGGGCCGAATAAAAACTATTAAAATTATATAAATAATGTATATATAAATATATACGTACTATAAACTAATTAAAAAAATACGAACATTTCCTAAGACCACTGATGATGCGTACTTGGCAATATTTGACAAGCGTTGTATGGTCAGCCAAATTTTAATAAATTAACTAAAATTTTTGTGGTTGTCTTTTCATTTCTATACGAACCATTTTTTACTCTTTTAAATAGTTTTTTTTTGTTAAAAGACGCGTCGCTTTCGACAAATAAAAGTAACAATAAAAATATTAAATATTTTTCTTACCCAAAGTAAATAATTTAATAAAAATTAAGTGTATACATATAAATATACATATTGTGTAATATGTAAGCTAATTTATTTTTTTAAAAAATTTAAATTATTTAAATAAATCAACAGAAAGTTTACTACTTTGAGCACTTTGGTACATACACATATATCATTTAAATATCAATTTCATAAATTAATATAATATTGTATTAGTCAAAATATAAATATCTACACACAATACTTATTACATACATTTATATATTTGTATATATCGCATAATTATTTTAATTAAAATATGTTTTTATTAGCTTTCTATTACAATAAAATTTTTGAGAATGTGGCGTATTCAATATATGTCTTTACCATATTAGACTTAGAAAGAACAATTTTAAGGTAATAAATAGTTTGTTTTTCATATATATATTTTCGTAGACATATATATATATATAAATATTTTATTAAATATATAAAGTAAAATTAATTGTGCTTTGCACAAGTAAACTTAGTTAAATATCCGTACCCGCATATAATGAAAAACTTTATATATGCAACTAATTTGTAACAAATTATAGAGAAGGAGTCTTAAGTGTATCCAAATCAAATATAGATACTTTCATATGTATAACAAAATGATAAAATTATTAACTTATTTATTTCAAATGTTTTCTCTTAATTTTCCATAGCCTTATACATTACTTTGTTTAAAACAATCTTTTAACATAACATGCCAGTAGTTGTACGTGTAATGTCTGTCAGCCCTTTTCATTTATGCTAACAATTGTTAAAATATATATGTAATTATTTATTTTTTTTTAATTATTACAAACTTTCCTTAAGCATGTTGGATATTGCCCGTAACACAACACACCATTCAAGTAACTTACGTATTAAATTATTAAAATGATTTAATATTTTTTTTGGAATATGATCATCATTGTCGATGTATTGTAACTCCAAACGGAGAATCCGGCCTCAAATTTTCGGCTAAATATCTTCAAAACAAAAAATTAAACTTTATGGACTTTGGGTACAAGTGTGGGTACAAGTGCCCATGATGAATAACATCAAAATTAAATATAAAACATATTCAGTAAATGTCTTACATTAAATGATTGTATTTTTTTACATACATATTTGCTTTTATTTTTTATATAATATATCTCCCATATAACTGATCATTGCTTAAGTAGAGTATATGTTGAATATAACACCGAATATTTTAAGCATTTTATATAAAATGATTAAAAATTTTTACAAACATTTTAGAATATCATAGCAATCATTTATAATATCACTTATTAGTTATAATATAATAAAATATGCTTCTTTAAATATTAAAATAATATAATTTAGTAAAATATTTTGTTATTATCCAAAATATAATTAAAAACGTAATAATTATAATACACACATATATTTAAGTTAAGAAATTGTTGATATTTATAATCATATAGTTATAAGAACTGATCTTAAGGATATATTATTACATATTATTATTGTTACATTAATATATTGCTGCAGTACTTGTATGCAAATTATTACAACATCTAAGAAGTATTTTGTATTTATAAACATTTAATATTATTGTTCAATATTTTTAATTGTGACTGACAATCATATAGGGTAGCCACAAACATGCAATTTTGGTTATATAATTATTAAGCCAATATTAGATTTAAGTTAAAATAATATTTTTTGTTTTCTCATTTTTTTATTTATATGAAAAAATCGCAGAAAATTTTTTCTTATGAATATCCATTTAAAAATTAAATATGATGGTGCAAAATGTAACGCTGTTTGCCTTATAGCGTTTTAATTTATTCTTTTTTTAATAAAAAATAATTTTTATACGCATTTTGACGTAACAACATATTATTATGTTAAAGTTAAATAATTTTTAAATTTGAAATTTTTTATTGAAATTAAATCAAATTGTTTTATTTCCCAATAACTAATATAATAAACATGCTCTTTATGGTCTGCATCACTAAGCTATTGAAATATTAGAGGTTCTCAGACTGACCTCAGTTATTGATACACTGAAAAATGTTAAGATTCGGAACGTATTTTGTCATTTCTTTTTTAACTAATTGAACTGGCCACTTAAATCAGTTGTTATTTTATTTAAATTAACAGTAAAAAGAATAAGTTGTATTGCTAAAATTACCCAGGCCTTCTACCACTTACCCATACCAGTTGATTTATTATGGCTACAAAAAGTATACCGAGTTAGATTTTAATAGCTCTATTATAAAAAATTCTTGATTTTGCTTTTATTATGTTAACGAAGTATGTACTACATAATATTCATAAGTAAGAATCTAAAATTTTTTAAGGGAACTATTGGTTGTACTAACCCTTCCTCGCTTTTTTTTATGTGAGTTGTTTTCTTCGAAGAAGTCAGTATTTTATGTTTTAAACATTTTAAAATACAGTATATGCAAAACAAATAGTTTTTAAAAATCGATTTTTTACTTTTTCTTATAGTTAAATTATTGAAAATGTTTATACAAAGTTATTCTACTCAAATTTTTAAGTTTATTGCTTTCTTCATCAACACTGGTCTTACTGCCCATTTTTGGTGCAATTAGCTAGCACTTTTATTTATTTTTAGAGCTGTCTTTATTTAATTGTTCTTCCGTTTTGTTTTTCTGTACTTATTTTGTCAGTTTTAAGTAATTTTATATAGCATTTTAGTTTTAGCTTATAAGCTAACTTGAAAATTAAATACTTGCTTAAGTAAAGTGAAGAAGTTTACTTCGTAGTTGATATGATTGCAATTTAGTACAGTAGTTTATATGCAGTGTAATATTTTCAATATATAATTTAAATTACTTTAGTAAATTATGTTGGGAACTACCCAATCGGTTCTTTACAAATTTTCATTTTTGTGCATAGAATTTAATGAACTATATACTCACTTTCTGTAATGTTTATATATAGTCGCTTCATGACAGACATAATAAATTTTAGTAATTTATCGTTTTTAGCTATTTGTTATGTTTATTAATTAATTTATTTTTAATGAAGCTTATTTGCTTAAAAGCTGAGCGAATTCTTTATTTTTTAGCAGTTAAACTGAAAAACACATAGACATATTTTATAATTTGTTCTATTGTGTTAAGGTATATTGTGTTAATATGATCTAAAAAGTTATGTCCAAACTGACATATTTATTTCGTTAAAATGCCTTTAATGAAATAATTTATAGATACCATGTTATAAATACGTTTCAATACAATGCCATTGTTGTTGGAAATGAAACTGGTTTCATTTTTAAATGAGTTCTAAACTCAGAGATGAAATTGAAAATGTAGTTTGTTCTGTTTGGTAATTAATATACATACTTATTTTGACATTGTTGTTTTTATGAAAAAATATATATATGAATAAATAAAACATGATAAATAAACCAAATTTATAAACTCGTTTAGCTGTTCTGAACATGTTTCGATCATTAAAATACATTTATTGAGTTTAATATTTTGACCTGCATTTAACTTTTCAGGCCAATTGAAATGAAGTAAATTAATTTAGCTCTAAAATTATATTATCATAAGTTTGTAAGTTTAGTATTCGAACAACTTCTCTCAGTTTAATGTTAACTAATATATTATATTGGCAGCTAGTGTTGTTGAAATATCTGCATATATGTTCATATATTTATATAAATATTTCATTATACTTAGCACAGAATACTCTAAACTTTAAAAATATATATTAAAATGTATATATAAAATTATATATATATAAAATTATATATATATAAATATATATATATTTATTAATTTATTTGTTAGTTAACATTAAAATTAATTTTAAAGTTAACTAATAATAAGAAACTGGACTGCTAGATCATTCGCCCTATATATAAAAACTTTATTATATTAAAGTGCAATATTCTTAATAATAAAGTTTAATGTATTCCCTGCTTAGTATAATGGCAACTTTTTTGACAGTGAATTGAGTTTAGTTATGTAAAATATATAAAATAAAATATACCTATCTGTAATTTATATTTCTATTATTGTGAATTTAGTATTAAATATTTTTGGCTATTATTATAAACAAAGAAACTGCTGTGCGATTTACTAATAACTTCACTTACTAACATTCATATGTTCACATCTCTCTCCCCTGATTACTGAAATGAAGTTTTCTGAATGCTGTGAAAATCTTCTCCATTCATTCCTTAGAGGTGGTTTTAGCGGGTTCAAATGATAAATACTTGTATTTATAAGTATATTTTAAATATTTTATAATTTGCTAATAACCATAACTTATAGAGGTGTTTACGTTAAATGTATTTCTAAACGAAAATTATGTATCGATTCGAATTAGAGCACATTAATTATATATTCAAACTAATAAGTTTTTATTTTGGGAAAAAAACAATGATAAAATATTGTTTTATTTTTTTTTTATTTTAGGTAAAAGGAAGAAAGCTAATACGTGCGCTTAAATTTGCGTGAATTTTGCAGTCTCTTTATGAAAATGTTTACTTATATAAAAATAAATCAGTATTAATACGATTATATCTGCAATATTCGTTGTTATTAATACACATAAATTAAATTTTGATAATTACCCATTTTGTATAAAATATAGTTTACTGTTGAATGTTGTGTCCGTTTTCACAATTCTTTCCTATATTTCCATCTATTTCTTGCTTTTGCCGTTGATTTTTGTAAGTATAGAGCGATTGCAATGGCACATGTAATAGTTCAACTATTTGCGTAAAATAAAATTCTAAAAAATAAAAAATAAATATTTTTTATAAATTCATAAGATAATAATTAGATATTACCATTTTCAGGTGTTATAAAACCATGACGTATTAAGAAATCAATCACAACTGGACAGCTTGTTGTTTTAAAATCAGCAGTAAAGACTCGTTCTATACATTCTTTGGCTGGCAGTAGTTCAAATGCTTGAACTTCTCCATCGGCATTATGTGGTGTGAAATCAAGTGGTAATTCCAAATCAAATACATATTCAGTATTTGGGAATAAGCCTTGATCGCTTTCGAAGAAAAATGATACACAACCAGCTGAAACGAGATTTTTTACGAGATCATGAGGAATGGATGCCTCTTCAGCGGCTTCTTTAATTGCAGTCTCTTTGATGCCATATCCAACTGATAAACCTCCACCGACCATGTTGTCCCATTTACCTGGCCAAGTTTCCTTGGTATTTGATCTTTGCTGCAACCAAATGCATAATCCATGAGTAGGATGCCGTACATAACCATTAATATCAACGCCATATTTGCGTACACCAAATAATGGTGTTGCCGAACGATCCATTTTTAATAAGCTATTATATTCCGACTTGACTTCATAGTACTGAAAAAAAATTAGAGATACAAATGTAATTATACGTTTTCAAGAACAAAAAGAAAAATATTTTCTTCGAGTACCTCTTCACGCCATCCTTGTAAGGCAGAAAATATGCCTTGCGAACGTAGCTGCCGCAATACTATATCGAGATTTTTAGTTCGCTCAGAATAATCACGAAATGCGGGATTTAATTCTACAATACCCTATAAAAGTTTAATAATTATTTAAAGTAAAATCAAAAACATATTTTGTTTGTATTATGTAGATACGCTTATTGAACGTGACTCTGATTTCTCGGGCACTTCGATTAGACAACAAATTTTACTAGAATCAACTATTTTGAATAACTTTTTCCACTACTTTATGCGCCAATACAGATTAGAATTTAAGATGGTATCAAGTTGTAAGGTTATAAACTGATTATAGTAACAAACTTTACATACGCGATATAGCACCAATAATGAGTATGGTTTCAAGAACGTCCGGGTCTATGTCCCGGGGCTTCTCGTCGAATTTGACGGCCAAGTGCTTGAGAAGTCCAAAACGGACTACACTGTCAGATATATGCGGTCTTCATTAAAAACAACAACAATATAGAAACAGATGGCGTATTTACTTGTTCATGTCTTTAATTTTAAAACCCAATACCTCAACATCTAAGCTTTATTAACATATAGCATTGTGAAAATAGATCATCATAGCTGGTCTTTACTAAAATCCGTTGTCAAATAGGTGTGCCTATGAAATCGAAATCGTGTCGTTTATTAATATTAAAGTAAACTAAGTAAAGTACATCACACAATTATATATATTTTTAAACATTTTGCTTATTCCCATATAAACACTTTTAATTTAGACAAAAACAAAACTTCAATCCCTTTCTATTATTCTGAAGAAGAAGTTGTGTTCCTGCTTAAGAGAACTTCTAAAAAATACAAGGCTATTTTATTAGTATGAGATAAACGTTGTGAATTTTGACGAAATAAGTAGATTTTGTTGACATTTTTTTTTGTTTTTATATAGATGTTTCTGTATAATAGATATTCAGTTAGATTTTATATACTTTTTTTTATTCAAAATGGTGTGACTATCAATTTATTTGAAAAACGATCGATGAATTATCATTAATAATTCACCCCCATTACTTGTAATTAACTAAAGTTGTTTGGTCATAAATGATAATAAAATAATTAAATGAATTATTATGATTCCAAAAGAACTTTATGTATGTAAAATTATGTATGTAATATAATATTATTGTATTGAAGAGTTTTTAATTCTGGAAGCAATCTAAAGTACACCAAATGAATTAAACAAACATTATTTATGACTACCTAAACTAAAATATGATTATTAGATTAACTGATAATGAAACTATTAACAGGGCAAAAGGTTGAGTGTTTGGACTTAGGAAATAAATAACAAAAAATAAATGATTTCAATTTATTTATTAAACAGCGTCACCGTTAAACTGAAGAAACGTTTGTAGTTAAAATAAGGCTTTTGATATATAAGTCAAGTGCTTTTTTTGGATTCGTATATACATTTTAAATATTATGACGTATAGTTCGATTAATAATAACGTTCTTAATAAAAAGTATAAAGGTCGATCTTAGATTTTTAGTATTTAATTTTGAAAACAATAAAATTGGTTTATTGTTTTCATTATTGTGAAAAATGTTAGGAATATTAGGAATTCTCCTGATGGAGACAAAAGCGAATTTGTCGAAATACCTATAGGAATACACAAAAAAATGCAATCGAAATTAAAGTTGAAATTCTAAAACACAAAACCGATTTTGAAATAAATCGTTACGAATAAACATATTTTAAATAAAATTATGAGCAAGTTATCTATTCACACTTCATTCATCTCACACTTTACTCAATAACAATCACTAAAACATAAGTAGATATAAACGGTACTTTTTTTGAGATTTTATTTTAAAATTGGCAACACTGTCTCCAGTGTCACTTATTCTGGCATCTGATTTCAATATAAAATGACAATTAAACATTTAGGGAGGGGAAACTGGGTTGGGCACGTCGTCTTTTGGATATACACGCAATATCTTTTATACACAAATCAATGGATATGTAGGACAAACATTTAAAAAAATGGAAACCTGTCGCTAATCGATAGATGTTATTAAAATAATAGTTTCAACTTATATATTATGTGTCAAAAGTATCCGGAATTAACAACAAGTAAAAAATGTGTAAGGAATATTATGTTTTGCAGCAGTTTTTAGCAACTTTGTTTCACTTTTTTTGTTATGAAAAAGGCATTTTAAGGTGATTACCATAAAAGTAAAATGGTTGAAATACTTCAAGTCTACTCTATCTCAGTCAACCTACGAAAAATGTGTAGGAAATTAAATAAAGCGCTGTAATGGTTGTAGAACATTACAACTCCATTTATTTTGAAAACAATTTATTACTTTCGAAGTATCATTTATCGGAGCAAAATCAATATTTTTACTTTCTATATAAAGCTGCAATAAGCAATAACCGTATTAACACCTAAAACTTAATACTGACATCAATTTCGCACAAAAATTGACGTATAACTCCATATAAAAAAGCAACTCTGCTAACTATACCTACAGCAGAGTTGCTTTAGGAAACAACTTGCTACTTATTCCGAATGCTATTTTGGACATTTTTACATATCCACAGATTTATAAAAATAGACCAAATATTCGCAAAAATCACTGTGAGATTACTAGACAACATTTAATTTAATTTGTAATTAAACAATTGAATTTAACAATTTATAATAGTTTAAAATTTATAATAGTTTAAAATTTATAATAATTTATAATTAATAATAGTATAATATATAGAAAATAAACAAATATACCGAAATCTAAAAATGTTTACAATTAAAATCATATCGAAAAAATCAATAATATATAAATTAGGTAAGACTTCTCAAACATCCAAATTAACTTGCACAAAAGCACCAAACACGGAGATAAATAAAATGACAAAAGTGCAATGATATTTTGTACTCAAAAATCATAAATAAATAAATGTGAATAATTTATAATTGATATAAATATTAATTGAAATATAAACATGAAAATTAATTTCGAATAATATATTTTAGCAATACTTTAAAATGCAAATGTATTCAGCATTGTTAAAAATATAAATCAATCTATGTTTAAAAATTTGATAATTTAATTTTATGTTTAAAATCAAAATAATATACAAAAATTACGTATAAGTCAACACAAAACAATTTTTTCTTAAATAAAATAAAAAAATATATAAAAAATTAAATTAAAATAATGACATAAAAAAAAATAAAAAATTAATACAAAAAAAGTATATAAAAAAAATTGAATAATATAAAAATAAAATAAAATATATAAAAATATATAAAAAAAAATAAAAAAAAATAAAATAATATGAAATAATATAAACAAAAATAAAATAATATAAAAAAAATGTAATAATACAAAAAATAAAATTAACTTAAAAAAAAAATAAAAAAAAAACAAAATTAAATAAAATAAAAAAAAACAAAATCAAATAAAATAAAAAAAAAAAACAAAATTAAATAAAATAAAAAAAAAACAAAATAATAAAATAAAATTAAAAAAGAGAAAATAATATTAAAGAAAGAGACAATAATATAAAAAGATAAGTAAAATAAAATAAACAAAAAATTTAATAAAAAAAATAAATAAAAGTAAAATAATTTTAAAAAAATTAAATAAAAAAAAATAAAATAATTTTAAAAAAATAAAAATACGTAAATAAAATAATACGATAAAAAGTAATATAAAAAAATAAAACTAAAAAATGATAAAAAATAAAACAATATTATAATAAAAAGAAAAAAATTAAAAAAACAATAAACAAATTTCAAAAAAATAACAAAAAAAATTTTAAAAAAATAAAAAAAAAGCAAAAAAAAAAATATGACAAAAAGTAATAACTCAACAAATTAATATAAAAAAAAACACAAAAAGAAAAATATAAAAATGTAACAAAAAATAAGAAAAGAATACAAAAAAATTATGCACCCATGAAAAAATCTGTCACTTAAGCCCACTAAGTGAGTAATGGTACAGTGAAATCTATAATAAATAATGAAAATCAGATAAGTGACATTTCCTTTGAATCACAACACTAATCCAACAGTAATCGTTAAAAAAATTTGCTGACCTTGGTCGTCGAAATTTTGCTCACTTGGATTGAATTCTTTCTATAATTAAAATAAAAACTCTGTCATTTGAACTGGTACTGTGGTACGTTCTTTTAATTGATACTTATAAGTTATAAATGATCAATTTTATTGTTTTTTTTTAAACTACAAAGCATAGTCGAAGAGTAAGCTAAGGTTAACATTTATTTTTTTTCTGAGAAAGTTAAAACTTGTCCTTTATATATATCTTTGGGCGCTTCAAAAACTAAGCGGGTAAGGAACTAAAATTAACTTACACAATTTATTTTAAATAATCAAATTTAAAAAATATTTTCAGAAAATTAAAATAATTATTATAATAATTGTTTTGGCCAGATTGTTTTTTTTTTTCAATAGGAAACATAATACATGGTAATTAATCACACCATCATATAATATGAAGTGGTAAATAAATACATTATTTATATTTACATACTGACCAAGAACTCTTGACTGCCATTGCGAATCTAATTATCACGAAATCCAAACCAGTCAGTTTGCAAAGAAATAACGTCCAAAACATGAAGTTTTTTGGAGAATAATAATTGAAAGCATTATTTTCCATACACAATTCTTTAGCAAGCCTACTGACTAGGAAGGTGTAAAGAATATTGATCGTGCTTATGTTTAATTTTATTTTTATTTTTTTTATATTAACTTGATCTTTTGTATTACGTCATAACTTTAAGGCGTTTGAATCATATATAAGATGTAATAATGCGACGTCATTATTGAGTATCACAGTACTTAAGCTGTCTGGCTAACAACATTAGTTATCAATTTAACAGAGAATCTGTTATGCATGAATTATTTGCTGGCAATCATAACTGCAACTAGTTTGATAAATTCTTCAAATTTAGTTGTTATTTTTAATAAAACAATATTAATTAAACAAAAAAATTAAAAAAATTATGGAATGATGTAAACATAGATCCAATGTTATTAATGATACTGCCAAAATTTAATGTTTAATGTTTAAATATCTATTTGCACCGAAAACCAAATAAAATTATAATTCTGCAAAAAAAAAGGAAGATATTGGTATCTTAAAAAAAAAAAACAATTTATAGTTTAGTTGTACTTACCACCTTGGTATATTCACAATCACGTACACAAAATACTTCAGGATACTTTAAAAGTTGTTTAATTACATCTGATTTAACCAATCCTACTTGTTGACCGTCAACTAAAAAGGGTCGTATGTCACCTTTATTAAATCCTAGAAAATATATGATATATTATTACATAAATGGGTTAAAAAGTTTAAAACGAAATGTATATATAGTATGTATATATATAAATCAAAGTTAGTAAGAGAATTTCTACCCCTTCCCCACCCATGTAATCGTCTTCTATATCCTTTTATGTTATCTACTTATAGGTTCCAGCGGGTTACTACAACAACAGAAATCGGCGGCTTAAAGCAACTGACTGACATTATTTTTATTTGGATTCCTGATTATAGGAACATCGAAGAGAATAAAAACATATAGTTTAGCTCTTCTGGTGATTTTATATGTCCTAAATTACATAAACTTAGCGGCATGGATTTATTGGTTGGTTTGAACAATGCAAGTAGGTAATTATTAGAAGGTTATTTACTGCAATTAACCAACCAACCATTCCTAAATATTTAAATATATACATAGTTATTATTTATATGATTGTTATAATGATATATATGTATAAATACAATACAAATTTTCGCACCCAGTCTCCGTATAAGAAACTCAGCTGCGACAATAATGCAATACTGTCAGTTGATATAAAAAGTTATTTAATTTTTTTAATTCTTGGATATCATAAGAAGACATATAAGCGGCAAGGGTACGATTGAATTAAAAAAAAGGGATTTCGATATAATCGATAAAAAGACATTCAATTACATTGCATGTACCGTAAATTCATCAAATATACGAGTATTAAAGATTTTCATGATCAAAGTGATTTAGGGTAGAGAAGTTAGAACATATATATAGCAATATACAGGATGTGTTTAAAATAGTAAAGATAACTTTGTTATTGCACGCTGTGTTTCGTTTATCGTATCAAATTTTTTTATACATTGATTGTACTGGCAGTAACATATGTATTAAAATTTACAAATGGTACAAATGCTTTCAAGAAAATAAAAAAAAACTGTTAAGATGAATTTATTTCTTAGCACCGTAAAAGGTCTATCTATGATGGTAAAAATTGAATAGATTATACTCGCCAATACAAGAAGTACTATTAGATAGGTTAATGAAGTTATGAAAATGTCATAGAAATGGGCATAGAATGTGTTTGCTCTTAGAATTATCATTAGAGAGTTCATTAAAGAAATATTAAAAAAGTAATGTCATATGATTCATATATGAACTGATTTTTATATATGTTTTATAAATGAGTAACAGACAATTTCGTTAGGAAGCTACAAAATACCGTTTTGCTCATCCAACAGTTTGTGGGAAAATATAATATTACTATAATGTTTCAAACACTCTATTCTTCACATACGGTACCATGCGACTCTTTAAATTTCTCAAAATCAAGAAAATACTCAAAGCACAACGTTTTTTAAAAATAGATAATATTAAGATGAAATTACAAGCTCATCTGAAGATTAGTGCATAATATAAAAGGGGAACTACTTTAGAATATATGAAATACACATAATAAATTGGATTGGATTAGATTAGATTTAAAAACGGGTTGGAAACTTGTAACTTACCCACTTTAGTCCCATAGACGAATAGCAGTGAAAAACACCATTATGTCCTTTAGAGAGACATAATTCCTATTTCCTAATTATCTAATTCCATTATAAATGGATAGGCAGTTGATAAGTGTAGAAGTCTAAAGTCTGGCGCGAGTATCACAGTGACACAGAATGCCACTCTTCTTCGCAACAAACTCTATATATATACATTATATAGCTGCATATATTATATATATATATAATATTTATTTATAATTAAAAAATATTTTTTAAAAAAATTGTAATTATTCGTTACTTTTTGATATGTATTTAATTGAAGTAATATACGGATATATAATTAAAATTAAGTGTTGCCTTGAAAGATAATCATTTCTGAATCGGCATTTTCCTATTCATTCTACTGCATTCTCCTTCTTCTTATCTTGAAGCTTAAAAAGTGTTTTAGAATCCTGAACTTATTTCATTTTCTATCCACTAATTGTAATTATTTTATATTAAAATTAATTTTTGTTTTTCTCACTAATAATAGCATAACATTTTCAATCACTATTGAGAATATGAAAAAAGCAAATACATATATAAACTTGAAAAGAAAAATTGTTGATACACTATTCAGATATATATTCGAGAATATTCACAAAAACAATCTCTGCACAATGTCATCTGTTTTTGTCGGAGAGTACCTTAAACTAGACATTGGAAAAATTGGTTCACAGCCGACTGCAGTTATATATAATTTTTTTGTGTGTTCTGTTGTGACTTTGAAATGATTTTAGGTGAATCACTCACGTCCGTCTCTTTGACATACATATACATATGTATCTGTATAATTGCAGTAACATATCGGGGCAAGAAAGCTTAATTATCGCTACATTAACAAATTATTTGCGAAGATAAGCGTCAAAAGGGTAAACATATTTTTATAAAAATTATTGACATATTCGCAAATGTAAACAGCGTGAATAAATTTAATTAATTTTAAATGCCATTTCGCCAAAATTTCTATTTCTTTTTTCAATGGATATTTATATTTGAAATAAAAAAAAAAATTTACGAAACAGTGAAATTTATAATTATGGAAAACATGTCAAATATTGCTGAAGATAAATAAATAAATGAATAAAAATTTTATAAGTTGAATTGGACAGACAACAACAACATAATATTGTACTATGCTATATATATATTAATAAAAATTAATATATAAATATATATATGTTTAAATGAATTTTAACATACAAACGAATTATCTATTATAAACCCACAATTACCATAAGATTAGGTTAGGTTGCGTTGTACTGGTTGTTATTGAATACCACAAGACCCTTTGGTTCTTTATAAAATAGCATAATTTGCATTAAATTTTTAATCAGCAATATTTGAAAACTTTAGAATCACTATACCAAGGGAACTACATAATAAATAAAACACTAATTCGACTGCACCAACTATTGGGGCGATCGATACTTAATACTAGATATAAATTGCTCATCAACCTTTGAACCTGAAAAAATGAAACTAAAATTATACTCGAGTGGATTTTGTGCAGTCATCTCAATAATAGATAAGGCTTTTGGTATAAGAGATAATTTCTAAAAAAAAAATACTGAATTTGGACGAAATACGTCATATGTTTATTGATTATTACAAACATCGTGATACTCTTTGAAGCAGTTGGAGAAGCTATGTAAACTTATTAGACTTGATCATCTAGCCACCACTGGTGATTTAAAACTTTATGAGAAAGTCTACAAAACGGTTTAGTTTTGTTGTAGTGAGGATTAAGACTCAGCTTTCCTTATTTCTTTTTTGGTAGGATCAGAAGAGAAGCTGTATTTCATTTTATAAAGAAAAGAATATTTCTATATAGAATATATTTCTATATAAAAAAAAAAAAAACATTTTTAATTTTTTTACAAACTATTCATTAGGTAGGAATAGGAATATTCATTAGGTATACTTGGTCGAAATATAAACAACAATGTATATAAAAATATTCAAAAAACCTTTAAAGTTTTCTATTTTCGACTTATACAAATGCAACTAATAGTTTAGGAATATCGACTTTACTAAAAACGAAACTGTACGTTATAAAAAAAAAAATACAACAAAAAAATAACTGGAGAACCTGTCGATTTTGTAAGAAGTTAGTCCATTAATGTCTATAGGGTGGAAAGCGTCCGCAATTAAGCCATTATCGAAATATATATATGACGAGTATTCATTTAAAGGGAGTGAAGTGTTTTTGTTTTGTTAAATTAATATTTTTAAACTAAATAAAATAGAATTTATATTCGAAAGACAAAGGCGATTCTTAAACTATTAGATATTGTATTTAACATATTGCAAATATATTAAATATTATTCATATAAAACAATAAAAATATTTCACTAACGATGAAGAAAACTTATATTTGATTGTTTGCTTTATGTAAATCTACAGAATCTACAGTAACTACAGGATATAGATAATAAATATTGGTGATTCGTTTATAATTTTTATAATCCTTATTCAAAATAGTTTTAAGCTTCAACTATCTCAAAACTTAAGAGATAAGTTTATCCTGAAACAGATATGTAATCAGTCATCTATGCCTATATCGACGATTCTAATAAATGAGTATATATATATATAAAAGTTATAAAGTTATAAACTTTCTAAGTTTTTATAAGCACTTTGCAAACGTCTTGATAAATTTAATATACCTCTTGTTAATAGTACAAAAGCTAAAATAATGAAGAGTATATAAATTGTTGATAAATGTTTTATTGCATGGGCATCCCAAATCGAAGAGAAGTTTTATTTTATATACACTTTAATGTTTGAACGTTATCAGCACGTTTGCACAAATATTTCCACAGATTACTTCCAAAGTTATTGACGTTATGATAATAACATTTTGACCAATATAAAAACGTATTTATTTTTATAATGCAATAAAATTGTTAACATTATTTTTACAAACGTTTTCTTTATCATAAAATACAAAATGTTTTTTTTTTGTGATTATTAGTGTTTAATAGGTTCTTAGATCTTAGTTTTGTTTTAACTAAAACGCAAAAACTAAAAAGATATTGATGCATGGAACAGATATATAGATCAGGTTTACTTTAAATCGTAGCGTCGGTTTTGTTAACTATTAAACTTGGTCCACGAAAAATAAATGTACGGAATCTATGGTTTGCGAATTATAAGAACTCTTTAAATATATTAATATATTATACATTAAAATATACTAAAATCATGGCAAACTTATACGAATTATGCAATGTGCCTTTAGGCTTTACAGAACATATATTTTATTTCTGGAGAGTTCTTTTAAAAAAGAAATCGATATATATCCATCACAAATCAACAGACTATTTAAGCCTTATTAAACAGATAATATAACATATTATTTAACAAAGAGAAGACAATAAAAGGGGCTGTTAGAATATAAAACACAGCTAAGGGCGACATAAGTAGATGAAGCTAATGAAGGTGTACTTCCATTTAATTGTGCCAAACTACTAAATAAAGTTGTGAAGTTTAAATGACATTGTCTAAACTGTCAAGAAGTTGCTCTTTAAATATATAAAAAACAACTTAATGAAAAATTAAATTAAACACCGTATCGCAATCAAAATTTGTATCTTAAAATGGAGAATATACTAGCATTTGTTGGCAAGATCAGAACTTCGGCCTTCTAATACGCACATAATATAATCTATCTTGATTGTTTTCCAAAAGAAAAAATATACTTATAAATAAATAAATAAATTATAAAATTTATAAAAATATCGTAGAACTCAGTCAAAAAACATGTCATATTAAGCAAATTACTTAATGAACCTTATTGTAGTTGTTGTGATCTGACTTAAAGTTCTACAAGGACTAGGTAAGGTTCTTTGAGTCGTTTTTCTGTAGAACAATTTTGAATGTAAACTCAAATTGTCTTGATTTCTACAATATATCTATATTCATTACATATTTTTACAGTATTATACAATCAAACTTCGTTCAGTAGCAGTGATACTAATATTCTTCGAAGCGTTCTAGATAATTCTAAATTTTATGTGCTTTCATGTTTTACTGCGATACGTAATACCATTTCCAGATATTTAATTATAAATAAATTGGCATAACGAATTGCCATTATCAGTACGGATTTCATGTACTATATATATATATAGAGTTAACACAATACTTAAAATGATTAATCCTCACTTATATATGTTCTTTTAAGAAGTACTTTGTACTTATACTCATTTAACTATTTCAAAAGTACCAATAATGATGTTGTATTCATTACTACTGTCAGCCATTGATATTATTTTTAAATATAAAATTAAATTTCATTAAAAAAAAATTTTTTTTTAAATAAACTCTTTTCACAATCGAAATTTTTGTCTTTTAAGATTGACAAGTCAGTATTGACAATTGTGAAAATAATTAAAAATGTAGTGGTTCTGAGCAACCCATTTATCTCCGATGCCAAATTTTCAAATCAAACACAAATTTAAAAAAATATAAACTGTCGTATCCATTATCTATATATCGATATATAATGTCTTATCCATATATATTGTTGTTAAATGCGAATATTTTTTTTTTTTGAGGTTGAATCTTTGTATGTATATTTCAAGTTCCTATTTAGAATAGATTATAAACGGGTTGGGAACTTATCACTGCATTTTTTAAGGATTATTGTAACAAATAGTTCCTATTTTGTAAACATTATGTTTGGACATTTTAGAGATTGTCAGAGTTTTAAGTTGAATATAGGCGACACCCTGTATCTCGGTTAATATTAACAATTAATAATAATTAATTAATAATAATTAATAATCAGTTTGTTTGGACATTTTAGAAATATTCAAGGTTTTATGTTGAATGTAGGTGAAAATTCATTTTCAATTACTTTAATTAAGTGTTTTTAAAGGTTACTTAATTACTTTTAAAATTTAAATTAAATTTAAACTAATTTTTCATACAACATTTCTCTACATCTCTGGATATGGGACAAATTCTTGAAAAGAAAACAAAACCACAGTAGACTTACTTAGCTCTACTCTGCCAAACGATAATCAATATCTTCTAATTTGCGTCAAACTTTTTGTATTCGTTATACACGTTCCAAATATGGCTGGCTGGGACATACCCTGCGTAAACCGGTTAGTGAATTCGCACACTCAGCATTAGAATGGAACCCACAAGGTAGAAGGAATACTGGGCGGCCAAAAAGCACATGGAGAAGATGGATAAATAGGGAAAGTAAGAAATCATTCAGCGAGCATAGAGCATTAGCGCGTAATAGGGATATCTGGAAAGTATATGTGAATAGGCTAAGTTATTGAATTGTGATTGTAACTTATAGAACATGTCACAATAATAATAATAATAATACACGTTCCAACACACTGAACAACAGGTTGAAGCGTGTGTTCCTTTCATAAGATATGCCGACTGTTTTTAAATGAAAGGTGTTTTTTTTAAACCTATTAAATGATTTAATTGTTTTAGTTATGATAATAAATAAAAATGTGTTTTGCATTTGCAAAGATTTTTACTATATTGCAAAAATAAACTTTATAAGAAAAAATGTTGGCCTTACAGAAAAAAACAATAAATAAACTTAAACTTAATTGAAGCTTATCAATGAATTGAATGAATTGAATTCATATTTTTCTTTTACGATAAAATAGAAATAATTCAGCACATTCGCCGCATTAGTCTGTTTTCATTTAATATAAAATCTTAATAATATATTGTATTAAATCACCTTGATGAGGGTGAAATTAAGGAAAGAAGTACGAAAGAAGAAAGCCAATAACAATGACAGTGAATAAACACACATGCGTCGTGGCTGCTAAGCATTAATTTATCAACAACAAATACAATAATACAACAACACAACCAAAATATGCAATTGGCTTGGCTGTTTTTATGCCGATCAGCTGCTACCGATAAAACAAACAACTGCAATAACAAAAACAAAGAAGAAAAACAACAATCAAGTTGTTTAAACGAAGTGTTTTTTTTTGACTTATTGTTTTGCTTTTGTTTTTTTGCTTGCAAAAGATGTTTTTTTTTTTGTTAAACTTATTCAGAGTGAAACAGTTTCATATCACAGCTGTTTTTGTTTTGTTGTGATCACTGATGATGCAATATAAGAAAGAATGGGAAAATAAATAAATAAATAAGAAATAAAATAAATGTATAAAGGAAGGAATGTAAAACTGATCGAAAAGCTTTTAAATTTTTTTTTTTGGAATCGGAACTTTGTGCTATTACAATGTTGCTTCAGTTAATTTATTTTTATCTAATGGCAAATATAACATATTACAAAAATATTAAGAATAACACAATGTATATATATATATATATATGTATATGTATATGTATGGAATTATAAACAGTATGACTGCAACTGCAGTCATACCGATTTTGTATGATGCAAAAACACTTTAGAATTGCATTCTTTAAACAAAGCTACTGCATGATCTCAACACAACTATTCAAAAACCTTTTTAAACTTTCAAATATGGTTTCACATTGTGAAATTCTTATGCAGATTGTGACTCAACGTAAACTAGAGTCATGTAACTCAATGATTAAACTCACATCCAACATGCATTAGAGATATAGAATCGAACGCCATTAATCTCCGATTTTAACTTTGCTTAAGTTTCTCTGAGTATAATTTAATTAATTAAATATAGATTTAAAAATTAAATCCAATTCTATTTATTTATAGGAAAAAGAAATAGCTAAAGAAATAAACACAATCAGTGAGTAATTAGTAATCCTTAAATATAACTGAAGCTTCTCTGAGTTGCAACCAGTAAAAGTTGTTTAAACCAGTAACATTACTTTGTTTGTATTAATTAAAAATTATCTTTAACTATTTTTATCGTTATTGCACGATTTAAAACCAATTTTGATTAATATTTGTATAGATTGCATTGATAAAACTGAAAAGATTTCCAAATAGGTTTTAGTACATAACCATATTGTAAACAATTTATGTTGTTATATTCAGATTGTTTTGCTTAAATTTACTTTTTAATAAGTAATATTTCATAATGCACATAAACGATCATAATCGATAAAGAAACTATTACTTAATAAATTATTCTTAAATTTTTTTTTAAACAAATTGTACTTATTGGAGTGCAAATCATTACCGGTAAACGTTGTATTACTTTTATATAAATAATATATTTTTCCAAAAAGTATAAATAATAAATCATATAAAAACATTTTATGTACATATATAATAGTTGAGTGTTCCTAAAATGAGGTAACAAATACTGCGACATACAAAATACATATATAATGAAAGCTATTCTCACATTCATTAAATTTCTATATTTCTTCATTATAATTATTTTGTTTTACAAAAATATTTTAATTTAAATATCTATTTAATTTATGAAAAAAAAATTTAAATTTTCGTTCGTCAAATGCTATATCTCGAACCTACTTAAAACCCTTCCCCTTGTCATTTAAACGAATTTTACAATACGCAAAACCATGGACCTTCGGAACAGCTGCATCAGCAGATTTTGAATGTTGTGTGTCGATACATATTTTGCAATCAAAAGCAAAATCAATTTTAATAATGTGAAAATATTGCATTTTACCAGATCTTACAAATTATCCATAAAATTTCAAAATAATTATTTTTAAGTTAGCTGTACAATATTTCAATTAACGTCTTAATACAAAAATCTTATGTATGGACTTCATTTAATTAACATTTTTTTTTCTAGTCTATTTGCATTGCATTAGTTCAGTTATTTGATTAGCGCATAATATAATGAAGGACAATTGAGCACTTCAACTACATTGCTGTGGATGATAATTGCAAAAAGGAAGGAACAAATAGAGAGAGATTGCACTTTAAACATGCATATTTCACATAAGTATATGCAATTTAAACATTCAAGGATATCTAATGGAAAACGCCCAGTACAGTTCAATATATTTCACTATCCTGTTGAATTATATTTCTGATAAACAAAATATGGTAGACTGCTATTTGACTATGGTGTGAAAAAGTCTTTTAGAACTAAATTTTAATATAGTAAATATTCTGCTAATTCGTATAAAAATTTAGTGTAGTTTCAGTATGTGGGTTGAAAAGTGCAACCGCCCACTGCCGATAACAAGCACTACCATCAAACCACATATTAATGACGAACAGGAAGGACATCATCGTTAGCACACACACAAATCGATAATTGAATGCCGAAGCCGAGCCATACCCATTTTTACACCAAATATTTACAATATAAAACTATTATTTTGTAATTATTCTAAGTTAATCAATAGAAATCTTTATGTTTAAATAAAATTTCTACTTACCTGATAAATAGAAATTATTAAATTTTTGCGCGAGCCGAAATAGTCGGGAAAGTTTAACATTAACATCGCCTGAAGCCATCGCCAAGGTTAATGAGGTTTTATATTTAAAAAATATATCTAAATATTTAAACTGTAAATTAAAAAAAAATACCTATATTTATTTTTATTATATTTCTAATAAAAAACTTGTCAATCAAATTTCCTATCAACTTTTATTAAAAAATATCGTCACAACTTCTAGTATGAATCGAACAACCAAACCGAACTCAGCGGCCAACGACAAGTAAATGAAGATAATAGCAGATGTCTAACATAAATAAAGACATTGAAACAGGGTTGCATTTCGTGCAAAAATAAAACTGAAAATATTTTTTATATAAAATATTGTATACATTTTGTGTTTATTTGTAGTATTCTATTATTTCAATATAAAATATATTAAAAAAAATAAAAATATATGGACTTCAATATAATATTACACGCATTTGGAAAAATAATCCTTTACCACACAATGCCTAATTTAATACAAGAGGTTTTAGTAAATGCCACGACTCTGAAAATATTAAGTCCGTGCAAATTCCATTTAAATATCACCCTTTATGGAAATGTACGGTGTGAATTTGTTTGCCATTTAAAAAACTATATGAATACTGTTTGCTTTTATTAAATTACAAATTTTGAGGTGTAAAAATTTAATAACCACCTTCTGCTAAGTTTCATTCTAAAATATATCTTGGTTTTTGAAATATCGATCTTTGATATAATTAACTTTTTGCAGTGATTACAAAAACAACAACTAAAGACATTAATTAGCGACACTTTATGTTTAGCACATTTACTAATCTAACAACTTATAGCATCATCTGTCAGTAGCAGTTTCTACGTAAAAAATTGAAACTTTAAAGCTTCATATCTCGAGAATTAAGCTATGACGATATAGCGTAGTGAAAACAGATTTATGATCTTTATCGTTAAATCGCAACACCCCAGAAATCGTACTCAAACCAAATTCCGCTATTCTCAACAGTTGCTGTAATATGATAGTATTAATATTAGTAATAATAAAAACATGAAGTTCTAAATCCAATCTGTAGAATATTTACAGAACATGCTTTGATCTTAGATTTAAACAAAGTATTTGATAACAATATTTTTCTTTAAATAAATATTTTATGAACAAAAAAATTTCGTGAATCTTATATTTGCCGCATTGTAATCTGTTGAATACAGAAGATGTATCCCATCGTAACAAAACAAAAAAAAAACAAATATGTACGTAACAAGGATATTTTTATATACATATGTTGCTTTGCGCATGCTTAAGAAAACTATAGAGGACCAAATACACACCGGTTATGCCATTTTATTGTGAATAATTTATAACACTCTATTGTTAATGCACTAATGTATACAAACATTTTTAAAATAAGAACATGTGCAAAGATATACTATGCATATATACATATGATGTGTGAACTAGCACTCAAAGTTGTTTAAATTTGAAAAATTGTCATTTCGCCCAAAAACATGTCTGTATTGTGATTAGCCAAATTTTGTTTAGTATTTGTTCTAATAATTCAATAATAATTATACATAATTTCAAAGAAAAAATTGATAAAAAGTATGTATTTTTAATATAACATCTATTATACTACATCACATATTATTATATACGTACATAATTATAAATATACAATTATAGAACAAACTATTTAACCTGCAGGTATACATAATAATTTAAAAAAAAAAAATATGCAAAATAAAAAATAGTTTTCGTGTCTATTCACAATAACATCAAAACGAATTAAGTTCTGACAATTCTTCAGTTACAATTTTGATATTGAATTAATTTTGTTCGATAATTATTTTATAGAGTAAATTAAATTACGTCCGTTTTAATTTTTAAAAACGGTTTGATGAAAAAATAAATTCTTAATATAAACTATTATTCTTAAAAGAGAGGTTTTTATCGATCAGTAGTTAAATTGCAACAACGAACATATTTTTATTTATAATTTTTATTATTAATTTAATTTAATTATTCGTAAAAAATTTTTTTGATACTGCAAGTACCAAGGGTTGAACTCGTGTCGTATCATATTTAAAGCTCAGAGTCAGTGTTCATTAGCCAACTGACCCGAAGCTTAGAGCTTGTTAATTTTCTGTGAAAGTTTATTAACATATTACTTGCTGTGTTGTAGTAAAAAAGAAACATAAACCAGCTATAGCTAATAGAATCAATTAATTATAGTTGTTTTCAATTTATAATTTATGTAATTTCAGCATTATTCTTATTGTAGGGGCATTATTTATTGTATGCTTTTAGTATTTTTTCTTGAGTATACAACCTAATCGAGGAACGCGATATGGAAAAAGTCATGTTAATATCACTCCACGATTCGCTGAGCCGAAATTGGAAAGCATATTCTATTCATATAAATCAAGTCAATTTCTATTATATAACTCGATATTGATTTAACGGAAACACTTCCCTAAGCTGTCTGTCCGTAGGTATAGCTGGTGCTCATATTAACCCGCTTGTGTAAGCCATTTTAAACAGGATTATATATACTATGTTTTACTATAATATGAAATAGATGAGATAAAATTTTTTAAGATTCGGTATTAGTATTTTCAATATAAAATGGTAACAAGCATTAGCTTTCCGATTTTAGTTGTATAATAGAAATATTATTTGTAATAAAGTTGTATAAGATATATTTACAAAAAAATTTATCTATTTTTATAAATTTGCTACTTATATGACACTTTTTTGATTTGTAAGTTGTGATTGTCAACTTGACTTGTTTATGTTAAAAAATTTTGTTTGTAGGTATGTTTTCAAGTAAACCACGAAATTGTTTTAGAAGATCGGATTGGTTTTATTCAAGCTAAAACATTTTTGATATGAGAATATCAAAATATATGTTCATATGTTATAATATATTATGTTGATGTGAATGAAATTGTTATTCTAAATTTTATATATGATTATGGTCATATACAAATAATGTGCATATACGTATGCTTAAGTTGTTAACATTATTTGTCGTTTGTAATTATGTTTTATAGAAAGAATTACAAACGGAATTGAAAACAATATTTGTCATCTATAGAGCTATTAATTAACTTTTTATATCAGTTAGGTTATATGAACTGAACACTGGGTCAGTTAACCCGCACACGTATTATATAATATCTATTAAGACCGTGTGCGAGTTCGAATAAATTGATGATAAATTGAGGGAAATAGTAAATTATGTCGGTATGGCAGCGAACGTTAGTATTTACCAGAAATTCGAGAGAGGTGAATTAGATAAAGATTAGGTAAATTAGGTGTTGCTATTGTGAACATTTTATATGTTGTTCAATAAATAATTAAATAAATTTAAAACCTTTTAACCAAAAATAATAAATAAATGCAATAAATAAATATTTACATAAGTGCAATACAAAAAATTCCCAGGATGTATCAATTTACTTTACCTCAATTTACTTGAATTCGCACACGGCCTAAGTTCGCACAATTCAGTCATAGTAATAAATTAACAAATAGGTAAGATTGTACTATTCATATCCAATAAAGGATGTCAGGTTCGTTCAGTAGAATATAATAATTCATACATAAAACACTTTTTAATCATATGTAGTGTTCTTTGCTCAGCAATGACAAATGCATTATTTGACTATTGTGACTTATTGACATTCGGCATGGTAACATATGGCAGATAAGTGACGTTTTAGTAAAATTAAGAATATTTGGAGGTTTGAGTTTGTAGTTTTTACATACTGCTAAAAAATTTTATAGTGTAGACTTAATATTTAAATATATATTTTATAAAATTCAAATTATGGGGGAAGAGTTTTTAAGTAAACCGCTGTCTTTTGCTTCTCCTCCAGGTAAGATTCGAAAAACGGCCATAAGAAAAATTGTTATGAACGCATGCTTTTTAAATTACGCAATATAAAGTGAAGCTATATCAGATGCATAAACGATTGTTTTTATTTTAGTCGAAGAACCGAAAACCGCACGATCACTTTCGTCGGCGTTTGGTGCTCCTGTTTCTCCTTACCTGAATTACGATCCACGATTTTTACAACAAGCGCAACCGGAGTTTATATTTCCAGAAGGTGCCAGTAAACAGCGCGGCAGATTTGAATTGGCGTTTTCGCAAATTGGATCATCAGTCATGGTAGGAGCTGGAATAGGTGGTGTTGTAGGATTTTATAATGGAATACGAACAACTGCTGCTATGAACCAAACAGGAAAATTAAGACGGACACAGTAAGATGAAAAATTTTATTATTTTATTTATTATTTTATTATGTTTATCATTTTAAAACTATTGAATTAATAGTTTGGACTAACGTGCATATTTGCTTAAAATTATATTTGTATAGTTTTAAGTATTCCGCTGAAATTTAAATTTATTTTGTAGGTTTAACGTTATATTTTCATATATATAAGTTTAAAATTTTTAAACGTAGCATTAAACCGCCGCTTTAAAATTGTCTATTAAATTCTACAAGCTTTTGTATCCATTTAGTTTTTGTTTACAATTTAAGTATCCAATTAAAATTAATACCTTATTCGTTATTTTAGAATGTTAAATCACATAATGAAACAAGGATCAGGTACTGCAAATACGTTAGGAACCCTTGCAGTTATGTATTCAGCTTTTGGAGTTCTATTGCAATATACGCGGGGAGAAGACGACGATATTAATACGCTAGTTGCTGGCACAGCAACGGGACTCTTATACAAGTCAAGTAGTAAGTTAGATGCCGCATGTTCATGAAGTGATTGTCAAATTTTTAATGCTCTCTTTATTCTATTTACAGGTGGTCTTCGAAGGTGTGCTCTTGGCGGAGGTGTTGGTCTTGGAATATCCGCGTTATATTGTATGTATCAATATTCACGCTCAAAATCAAATGGAAACTATAAGTTTTTGTAAATTTTATAACCGTGTGGACTTTACAAAATTATTATTAAGCGGAGGAACTGTTATAATAATTTCAAATTTCTGGAAATTTGAGAAGTGGATAATTTTTTAAGATCAAATATATTATATATATTTATGTACATTAAGTTGTTTAAATTTATGATTTTAGTTATTAAATTAAGAATATGATTCTGTTGAAACTAATTTGTAAACTTCCAAATATGAAAAGATCAATTTATAAACGTGCTGCTTATTTCTAATTATGAAAATCGAATTTTAATTTCACTTCATATATTTGAATACAATATTAAAGAAACTGAAATTATATAATTGCCCTCACAATATTTGCTTGCTCACATATTTTATAAAGTTAATGATATGATGTCAACATTGCCCACAAACGAATTAAGTTAAATATCTTAACTAATAAATTTATAATAAGAATTAATTCAAACGTTTAAAATAAAAACCAAACAAAATCTCTTTATAACTAAAATATTTTTAACTATAAATGCATGTAAACCAAATATTAGTATTGTATTTAACTTAATCAATGTGAATTAGTACCAAAATCATTAAAGGTATTACATATGAAAACAATTATGACGTCATTTACTTATATAAATCAGAACATAAAAAATTAAAATTTACTACAGCTTCGCATGTAAATCCCTTATTCATCAATAGTTTGGAGATTGTCTGGGAATAGATATAACTACATTTCTCGCTATAGTAGAGCGAATTTGTAGATCTGTTTAAAGATTTCTGCTTTTTTGTTTAATTGTTGTCAATGAGTGGATGCAGAGTTTGATTGTTTGGAGTTTTTGTCAAGAGCCGGAATCAGATATTTTAACGTGTTGTCCTCTTTAATGCTATATACTTTTAATTTTGTTTAATTCTGGCAGCGTTTGCAGACCATAACAAAAAATCACTCTCTTTTGTCCTGCTTAACTTAGATTAATTACTGTCTATTACTATAGACATTGAATTGTATATATGTTATTATTTATTATATTATCTAATTTTAATAGCGTCTGCAAATAGCAGAGTATAGCCATTTTGGATATACCTCGCATATGCTACAAATATATTGCTTTTGAGATTCTTAAGATAATCTAACTATGTTGTTGTTGTAACCCGCTGGGACCTGATTGTGAAGTCTTTTTGTAAGGTGTTGAACGGCACTTGGTTGTCGCTGGCGACGAGTGGCTCCGGAACGGGTCTAATTTAACTATAATTTTGTTGAGTGTCGAAATGTGATAATTTATTCTTAGTTAAAAATTTCTGTTTTGTAGACAGCAACAAGTGATTTCTATCATTTTTGTAGGGTTTCAAGAATGGTCGGGATTACGTCTCAGACCCACTCTTCAATTTCGACGACCAAGTCCATTCATTACCACCCAAAGGAACTGCACAAGCAGATCCCAGGGGGTTACAACAACATAGTTAGATTATTTCAAGAATCTCAAAAGCGTATTCCCAACATTGGCGTGTTCAAGGTGGAATAAGCTAAGAAATATACTCAGACAATATTATCTGTATAATAATAAAGACTAAGCATTGGTTTTTAGTACCATTACGTACTAGAAATTTAATTAATGAAATTCTGAAGAAAGTTGTTAACTTATAAAAATAGCAACGGTAGAAGAGTTACTTTAGATTTTTGTGCAAAAAAGATCCTAAAAACAACATAAAATAGGAATATTACTTCCTACAAAAGCATATTTAATTACTCGTATATAATGGATGTGTATATCAATAAAACAATTTTCAATTTTTTTTAGAATTAATTTAGTGACCCACAAAGAAATACGAGTATAACAAGTATTATCCTGCCGCGGATCTTATTCCGAGATTAAAAGCTAGTCCCTATAGTTTGATGATATTGTCAGATTTTTGGAGTTGGGTTTGATTTGGATTGTGGTGGCCGCAAGCGACTCCCATTCAATCGTGTTACTTTGGTACTTTTTTAACCAATATTACTATCCTCCATTTTGTCGATGTGTCTATCTTTTCTATAAGTTTGAGTAGTTTTGCAGTCTTATAAAGTTTATTTTTCTGTTTAGTTGAGATATTCGCATTTCACGTGACAATTTTTATTCTGTTGTTTCTTATCTCCGTTATTGAAAGTTGACGGAGATCATATATGACAACATGCTTGGCATAATGTAAGCATCGTAGTGTTAAATTTAATCTATAAATGAAGAATTGCTTGAACTGGATATTAGTTGGTGGCTGGTTAGTATTTTGCATTGGTCTGTTATATGTTGGTGTAATCACATCGGCATTAGTGGAAGCTTTAAGCTTATATTTAAGTACTAAATTTATTGTTTATTTGCCTTTCTTAATAAAATGGTTTGTGTGATTTTAATGGTGTTTGCGTTGAGTAGATAGTGCACCCGCTTCGATGTGAGTTGCTGATGAATATTTAACTAACTATCCAATTATTTATTGGATAGTTGCTGTAACTTGACAGCTGGCACACTCAAGAGCTCCTTCGTTTAGCTTTTTGCACACAGAATGATGGTTTAAGTTACCGCGTTTCAGGGCTTTGGATAGAAATCTGCAATTTGTTAATTCCTGATGGAATTGTTAAAGCATTTAGGCTGAGGTTCTGGTACAATAGGTCTCTTCTGGCCGCAGTACCGGCTGTTGGGCAATTTTCACGTCTACTCATTAATAGGCTGAGGTTATTGGGACTTATAACAATTTGAAGGTGTCATATGGATGTGATGAATTGTTTTATTATTTTTCGGACTAATTTTATTTAATTTAGGAAAATCGCCAAAGCAAGAATACGCTCAGAATACAAAATGAAACATAAAGTGAAGTAAAATTTATACCGTTAAAGTCTATTGAAGTTTCTGCAGGGTCAACACCTTGTAATAATCAGGTTTAAGTTCTTCTCCACTGGTAAGAAATATGCAATTATTTGTCTGGTAAGTATTTGGTGAGATTTCGATTTGTCTGAAAAAATGAGTTGTATATTATAGTTGTATAGTTATTGTTGTTGTTGTAATTCCCTGCGATCTGAGAGCCAATAACATGAAAAGATATACAATACGATTACATAGGTGGGGAAGTGGATGGGTAGTGGTTGGGGGTGATGTAGGTCGAAATGAGGATAATGAGTAAATTGGGAGGGTGGGATTTAATTGAATATTAACTTGGATCCAGACGGAGTATATTCTGGTTAACTTTTTCAGTTGAGGCAACAATGTAAATAAAATATAGGAAAGTTAAGTCAAATATTTGACTAGCGTTTGTCTTAAAATTCAAGTAAATTCAAGACTTTTTGGAAATGTGAACTTAAATGTTAATATTTTTTTATTTACGGTAATGTGTGGAATTATAAGAGTTCACAGTGTAATCTTACAGCAAAACAGATTTTTAGTGATTTTAGAGATACTTATACAAAAACATTTATAGCATTAACAATATTTATTATATAGAAATAAAATTATTTTAATAAAAAAATTATTTTTCACATTTTTGAAATTTTTTATTTTTAAATATAATTTTTTTTTTTTGAGTTTTTCCTTTTTATTTTCGCTGTAAAGTTTTGCATTGATAAATTTATAGAGAATTTTTTTTTGTGTTTTAAAATCAGCTCCAATGCTTATGCCAATACGATAATTTAGTTAAAATATTTAATAAAAATTAAAAAATATAATAAAAATAATATTGACTTATTTTTGCAATTTAAATTATTTACAATTGATTTCATCTGTCTGTCAATTTCATAATATTGTTCAACTAATAATCCAAACCGTCCGAATCAGAACCTGTTAAAGCTAAAACTTTTACACCCGATTTGTCGTCTAACATGTTATTTGCTGGTGCTTCACAGCTTGTGTCCAGTGACGAGCAAGTATGACAGTGGCAGCTCACAGCTTCCATATACTCGTATCGGCGAGCCTCTTCGCCAGCTTCAGGATGACAGTTTCGTAGTACCGCTACTGCTGGCTGTCGAGACGCATGTACGCAGACCGGATGATATGAGCGCTTGTAAGGGAATTTCCAGTCGGAAATTTCACTTGAATCACAACGCCCCCAACATGACATAACACTAACATAGTCCCAACACTCACGTCCTTTAGCATCGACTTGCGTTACTCGGTAGGTGTATAAGCGACGATGGCAGCCCAAAGGTGCAGCAGTGGGACTACTGTTTATTGGTTGCATCTCCAGTAGTTGTACACAGAAACCTCTACAAAGCATGCCTAACATTATAACAAGTAGAATACTGAAAATGAAAAATGTTTAGTTATTAAATTATATTACAAAAATATTTTAACTTCTTATACCCACAGATTCATTTTGAGCACTGAAATCAACAGTTCCCGTATCTTCTAAGAACTGACTTGTTGCAGTGAATTTTGCTCCCTTTTATACAAGGACACCGAGCAGTGGTGGCAAAATATGCGCAATAGAAGCTTTGTTATTTTTCTATTTTGAAGTGGGTACGAATGAAGCGAAAAGTGCTATGTAGACATAATCCTTTGGAAAAGGAGTGGAAAAAAGGATATAATACTCGACTACAATGAAATGTTTTTTTTTAACTGAGTTAATTTTAAATTTAAAAATAAAATTGTTTTTACATGGTATTTGATAAATAAAAAAGTTTCTTTTTGTTTTAACAAATCCTAAGTAAGAGGTTGTGAAATAATCTATAACCTATAAAAAATTTAAAGTTCCTATAAAGGGTATGAAAAGTGAACTCAATAATATAAAAAGTCAAAAAGACAGGAAAGAAAACAAAACATAACATCAATAAAGAAGTCCAGTTAATCTTCAAAATTTCAAAAATATAATATAATAATTAAGTCTATTCCATTCTTTCGATGGCAATAATTAGAGATAATGAGATATGATTCTGTTAGAATTATATATTGTGATACCAATGCAAGTAATACTTGTTGCCCATTCCTTCGATTTCAATAATAAAAGATAGTGAGATATAACTCTGTTAGAACTATATATTGTGATACCAATGCAAGTAATACGTGTATCTATTCACTGAGTTGAACTATGCATACGATTCTTTGTAATACCCGCATTTATGTGTAAAAGAAGCTGAACTAAAACTATTATAGATCAAAATGGGAAATGTATGAACTATCGATGCGTATTTTTAATCCATTTCAAGGTTTTGGATCTGTGATGACTTTGTTACTTAGTTTTATAGTATTTCTTTTAAATTATTTGTATAATAATGCATCTTAGAACTGAAAAACATGTTGATAACTCACATGTAGATATATAAATCTGGTATCGCTGAGAACCAATATATGTATGTGTGACTTATTGTCGGATATTTTAAATTCATTTAACGTAATACGTTCTATATTTTTATAAGCTAATCATCTACATATACGAAATTACGAGTAGCGCATACTCATGTACGAGTTTACATATGAGAGTAATGAGTATGAGTTACTTTTGCTTCCTATTTCCAAACTGTACTTTTAGCATAAGTGGTAGTTTTCCTTTCCGAGTTGAACTTAATAATTAATTTTATACTTAATAGTAATTTAATCTATTACATCTATATACCCTGTTAAACGATAATATATTATTATAATTATTTTTAAAGAGGTAGTACACTGCGACCTAAAAGACCTATTGTGCCTTTAATCGGATTAGAGTGTTTATCCAAATCCGATTTCTTTAATGAAAGACAGTAAAGAGCCTATCTTTCCTAGTCTTGAATCCTTATAATCCATGAAATACCCGCCTAGGTGTTTCTTCCGCTTATGCATCAGTGGTGAGCACTCCCCAAGCACATGGTATGCATTTTCTTTTTCGTCTCTACAGTATCTGCACTCTGACTTAGATTGAATTCCTAACTTCGGTAGTTGATTATTCAATCTACAGTGAACGGTGTCAATAATCCCATAATGATTCATAGGTTAGTTTTTGATTGTTCTATGCAATTTTGCGTTTTAGCTTGTAAGTCCCTAAAAGCATTTTAAATTGTGCTAGTGTTGGTGCCCTTTCCCAATAGAGTTCTCTTTCTTTTTCCTCAGCGCCGTTCATAACAATGGATAGAATTCCTTTGCCAAGACCACAGAATGGTTCTGGGTTTATCATTCCGGTAGTTGCATTCAATGTTGAAACTGGCGCATCTATCTATCGTGTATATTTCCACTTGAAATATGATTACATTTTTTCCAGTGTTTCCCAGTATCTTTTGCCTGAACCAGAAACGATAGTATATATTTAAATAACAAAACAAAAACAAAAACTTTTAAAATATATGGTAGATGCAAATATTAATACCGAAGCTTAGCGAATATTTTATTTCCATTGATTTTATATGTATTATATATTATTCAGATGATTCAGGTGATGCCCTCACAATTGTTTTTTCGGAATTTTGTTTAGTACTGCAGTTTGTGTTTGAAGCCACACTAGATGTTTTCAGGTTATACCACCTGTACTCGTTCACCAGAACCTCGTATGTAAATGCGTTATGGGTAGGTGAGGTTAACAGTTGAGAGGGCTAGGCTATATATTCGCACCACTCCTCCATTGCGGCATACGCTTTTGCCCCTTATATTTCAGATTTCTTCGTATTATATTATATTAATTAGAGTAGGAATTCTAAGAATTTGCTCTATTAGACAAATAGAGTATAGAATTAGGAATTAAAAACTTGAGCATATCGCAAAAGGGTTTTTTTTCCATTATTACTAAATTCATTCAAAAAGCTGATTGTATTGATTAAGAAAATTCGTCTAATGACATTATTCTATTTATATTGATGATTAAATATAGATGTATTAACTTTATGGGACGTTGAAATTGGATACGTTAAGTTTTCTTTATCAAGTCAAAGTTGATTTTCCTTTAATATTTCAGAAATATTTCTAAAGAAATCAAAGCATTGAATATTTCAGCTGTATACTCTATTATTCAATTGTTCAGGAGATTCCAAACTTTAATGCAAGTAGTAGAGCAATGATAATTTTTTAGATTATAGGGAAAAATTTTGCTTTTAAAAATTAAAGAATTGTATTATTTTCACTCAAATATATTTGGTAGTAGTGCGTACGTACTTGTCATGGCTACAATAAAAATAAGTGCAGAATATTAATTAAGAATATACTTTGGCTCCATTATTTGATTAATTCATCCTTTATCTCTGCATAAGAAGGTGGATTCAGATCTCTTATGAGTTTTGATTCTATGGAAATTCTATGGAAATTCTTGTCTTTGAAGGCGTTTATTGTGGTCATTACAAGTTTTACTGAAACGTCTAATGAATGAAGGCAACTGATATAAGAATGAACGGCTACGTCTTCTTTGGATTTATTTTTTTTTTTATGTTTCACTTAATATTCCAAATTTTAGTTACATTATTTCTCCACAAAATCTGTGTTGTCTTTGGATTCCAGCCAACTGTCCAGCTGTTAGTTGCATTCCTCAGCAATCATAGCTCGAAAATGGATACATTTTCTGTTCTTCATTGTACCTTTCGCTTGGAAATCCAGATTTTTGTTGCATTGATTACAGCAGCAATCCTTTCAGATTTCTGATGATAACTGCTTTCTTGTATTGCTGTGTATATAAGGTATTCTCAAACATTTGAAGATGCGTAACTTTTGGATTATAGCGTGTAGTGAGTTTAACCTAAAATAAAATGGACTTAAGTCGCATTTATAAACAGCGTCCTCAAAAATTTAACGATAATGATACTTTTTTAACTATAGAGAAAGAACCCAAGATCTTTCTTGGTTTCTTTCTTCTTACCTAAAAATCCATTTTATTAATAGCGTCAAGCAGTGATCTCCTTGTAAATGTGAAGATATTTCCTAATTAGGTTTTACTTAAAAACTCAATGTTTAGTTGTATTAATCAGCAATCTCCTATAAATATAAAAAAGTTATTTGAAGTTATTAAACTTTATTATTTTTACAAATATAAATTCAATTTCTATGTAAATTCATTTCATGTATATCAGTAACTCCGAAACGAGTACTCCGTACATGTATTCGATATCGTATTGAGAGTCTGCGTGGTCCGTCCCTATGTGCTTCAACAATTTCATGTATTGAGGGTGAAGCCTCAACAGAGCTTTCTTCTTCATCATCAGCATCTTCATCATCTGTTGGGCTATCGTAGTCGTCGTCACCGTTACTTTGTGATACAATTCTTATAGCAGCGACGGTATCAGATACTTCACGGTTTATAGTACCTGATAAAATACGTTGGCGTCTTTCCTCCATTAAGCGATCACGTTCTTTGTGTATATAATCACGTATATTTGGCAAACCTCCAACATTATTTGTAGACAACGCTGATCGTTCAATATTCATATCGGTTGCCTCCATCCTAGTAATAAAATAATTAATTATTTCATATATATTTCTTTTTCATTCAATTCAAAAAGGTTGATTACCATTCATCAGTTTCAGCCACATAACATTCAGTATGTGATATTGTGCCTTCGCCATTGAATCCACCTATTGCAAATATCATATCGTCAATAATTTCTAAGCCAAAGTTACTTCGCGAATAATTCATGTCATGAATATCAGTCCAAACTTGGGATTCAGTATCATAACGTTCACCGCTGGCTAGTCGAGAAGTGCCATTAAAACCACCTATTGTATATAGCACTCCACGAAACGCTACGCAAGATACACCAGAACGGCGATGATGCATGTTCGGTATACGATTCCATACATTTCTTCTGGGATCATAATATTCAGCACTGTCCAGACATTCTTGTCCATTAAAACCTCCTTAAAAAAAAAGTTAGAGATGTCTAAAATAATCAAGTTATTTAACAAGATTATTTCAAATTATATTTCACGTTTTTAACACTAAGATTAATATGAAGAATCAGACACCAAGAAAATGCGGTGAAAAGTGGTGATTTGGACGCAGATCAAAAATCACAAGAGCATGACTTGAAATGCCAACATGAAAGAGATCTTCCACGAAGTAATACGAAAGCGGTACTGAAGGGGATAAGTCTCGCCGAAGGGTGGGTGTTTTAGTCCGTATACTACATATTAATGTTAAGGAGTCAGGGCACACCATTCCGACGAGGGTCGGTTTGACGGTTCATAAAGCTTTCCACCTCCTCACCACAGAAATAAAACAAAAAAAATATATATGAAAAATTATCACTATAAATGAATAGAAACAGTCTTTCATAACAGTCGAATATAGCAGATACACTTAGCATTAAAAAAGGTCCAAAAAATTTATAAGTTAATACTTTTGCCAAGAGATAAAAATACAAAATAAGACTTTTAAAAAGAATCTGTTTCTAATGTTTCTAAGGCTCTTTGCCAAACGAAGACGATTTAATCCAAAGACAGTTTAATAGAACTCTTAGAAGAAATTTCCAGTAGAATTTAGTGAAAGCGAATATTCAATCATATAAATTTATAAACATTCTTAAAAGGATTTTTGCCACAAATAATTTATTTTACTTTAATCTGTTTCTCCAAAGAAAATATTAAACATTCTTTAATTCCATGAATAGAATTACATTTGGCACAATGTTTATTTGTATCTTCCCCCACAAAAAAAGAAACTGTTAAGACATTAATTTGAAAGTTATTTAAATAATTTGAAAATATTACCAGTAGCATAAATTTTACCCTTGAGTGTACAGGCGCTTGCGTCAGACCTTTGCATATTCATTGGTGCTATTATGGTCCACTGGTTCGTTTTTGGATTATATCGCTCTACAGTATTTAAACGATTATGTCCATCGTAGCCGCCAATAGCGTAAATATAGCCATTAAGTTCAGTCACGCTAACATAACATCGCCGGCAATGCATAGGCGCAATCTAAGCACAAAGTTAAAAATAAAAAACAAAGAGAAAAATATATTTACATATTTTTATAATTATACTGTCGCTTACATATCAAATTGACAAGTTTACAAACCTCACTCCAAGTCTTATTGATGGTATCAAATACACGACATGTGTTGAAATACTCAACACCATCATAACCGCCTATGGAGTATATTTTAAAACCAAGAACTGCAGTGCCATGATAGGCGCGAGGTCCTGCTGGATCTTCAGCATTTATAACTACCCAACGATCGGCACGCGTGTCATATGTTTCAATACTACCTTTTGATGCACCACCACTCCAACCACCTATAGCAAATATGACTTCATGTGGCAAGCGTGGCATTGCGAGCGGTGGAGTAGCTACCTTCAACATAAAATCCATATTATTATCTATTATAATTAATAAATCTATTTAAATAAATATTACCTCACCACATTCGGGATTCATGATATCCAAATCATACATAAAGTTGAAAGTCTCTACGATTAATGGCTTGGCTTTCTCACAATCTAGTACATAAGGATGTTCTTTCACATCCTCCATGAAACACTATAAATTTTTCAGTTATGTTTTTATATTAATAAAATAATTTTTTAAGTCCCATCAAAATAGTTTTCAAACTTTACAGCTATAAATCAAGCTAAACATATAATAAAGGATCAAAGACCACAATTTTAATACCTTATAAATCAACTTTTAAATAAAAAAATTTAAATATAAGAGAATCGTTAATTTAGTGATTGGGATGATTCCGATTACTCGAGCATCAGGATTTAATTAAGAATTTTGTTAAATTCAATAGTCTAAATAAATTTTTCTACTATCCTATTGACTTGAGTTCCAGAAATATTGGATTTTGATGACGCATTATGAATACATTTAGAAACGATTGTCTATTAAGTGCTAATACCTAATAAATCAATATGTACGCTTGTAGTATCAGGTCTGAATCGTGGTACATATTTATATTTACCAATGCATGGATTTTGTTATTTCCCATATACAGTTTAAATTTGAAGATAAAAATAAAAAAATATCTTAGCTCAGTGCCATCTATGAGTTGTTGTCGGTAGATGGATGGAGTACACATTATCTACCCAACTTGAATTTGACTAAATTTGCTTGATATTTTGCTGCGACTTGACATTTTACTTATTGTCACTTTGTCTAAGTCGGTCAAAAACTGGGCATGCCACAAAGAGCGAATATAAAATAATAATTTAACAAAATATATACTGAAATAAATGCTTGTTTCAAGCACAAGTTTTCGTTAAATTGACTAATTCCGTGACGGTCGTAGTAAAGACGGGAAGAAAGGAATAAAAGAATGACAACTCAATCGGACAAAGTAATATATCTTTTTATGTAATGTTTATATTTATATAATATAATAAAAATAAATATATATTTTTTAAAAAAATTAAATATATTTAATAAAAAAATTTAATTTGCAGTTTGTATGTCCAGTAAAAAAATAGTCCGATTATTTATGTACTGTTCTATATCTTTTGTATATTTTATATATATTGCATTTTCTTATTAAAAGAAAATAGAAAAAGAATTGGGTCCTTTTTTACAAAAATGGTATATTTTTTAACCAATTTTGGTAGAGAAAAAAGTTTTCAAATGGCAACCATGGGTCCATTATAACACAACAATGATATTGATAAAGATATTAATTTAATTATGTCGACATTTATCTTTATTTTCCATAGGCGAAATGAAAAATTTTAAAAGCGATTGCTGGAAACGCTCAGCAATGTATTGCTTTGTTTTCCCCCCTTATTGCTGAATAAGAAGGAATATAATAATAAATATCGGTATAACATATAATCAAAATTTCATTACATAATTTCTTTTTGGAAACATAAACTTCATTTATAGAATTTATTTACAATATTCTTTCCAAAAATAGCAAATTAACTACTTCAATCTTTACTTTTAAACAGAATTTACATTAAACTTAATTATATCGGAAGAAAATTTTCATACAAACTTATATTAAAAATATAAGAGAAGTTATTGAGAATTATAAATTCAATTATAGGTATGATAAGTCTTAACACTGTTCCAACTTATAACTGAATTTTTAATTCTCATTCACTTTTAAAGTTTTCTTTCTTTGAAGGTAATTCCATTTTTATGCAATTATTTTATTTTAATACAAATTATACTTGGAAGCAGAGTTGGGTTTCCACTTTGTTTTATCACTTATTTAGAAAGAATTTGAAACTTTTAGTAATATAACAACATTTTATAATTCTAAATTCTAAATATAGTAAAATATTTCTAAATAATACAGTAAAAAATTGATATGTCGACACTGACAGGCTCACATGATTTAAAATTGAAAGCAACAACACTGTGTGACGTGACTGCAATCATAATATGCCCCTTGGTCTGTTGCTAATCAATAGACCAGGATAAATGAAAATCGTTTGTTTTATTAAAACTATTGTTTTTATACGTATTATTTAAGATAGATTACCATAAGAATTATTTATATAGAAGGACTGTGTCAACTACAGCTGAATAAATATATAGTGAGATATATTTTATGGATTTTTCACCGCAGTGAAAATGAAGATATACTAGTCTTCCTTCCCTAACGTCTTTAGCTGTATTTACTTTTTACCTTAATATTGAATCGATGGTAGTTTTTAAGTATTGATAGTAATAGTTTAAGTGAAATATTTTTATACATAGTCAAGATAAACTATACTATTTTGTATTTTTAGTGATAGCTAGAAGTTTTGGTTTTGTTAATATTAGCTCCTAGTCTACAGACTTTAGTTTAATCAAAACAAAATATAATGGTACTCGGTATTTAACAATAAGGAGCATAAGACACTATTGCTATTCACTATAGGCGAAAATATATAAGCAAGTACCTTATAAAAGTGATATTATGTTTTTTAATATTATAGTTGTATTATAGTGCACCGTTGCGGTGCGAATTGTTTCCTCATCTACCATACTATATGGTGGATGGTTCCCAGTGACTATTACCTGTTTCCAAAGATGGCGCTAGGGAAACAAATTTGTTTCAAATGATAAAGTGAAATGGGAAACTGTGGTATATTTTGGAGAACTTAATAAATCGTATTATTTAAAAGATATTTAAATATTGAAAGATCTATATAAAGATCTATTGATAGAGGAATGATCTATATACTATATGGAAGCATAAAATATGATTTTTCATTTTGAACACGTGGATCTTACCCGTAAAGGCTAGAACTGTAGTGAGAAAACTTGTAGCGATTTTGGTATGTCACTATCCGAAACCTATCTAATGTAAATAAATTGGGTACCCTGTTTAACTAAAAATGCAAAAACTGCAGGAAGAAGGAAAAATATAAGTGAATTGAACATTTCCTACATAAATTGCTAAGTCTGTCTATAGTAAGGCAATCCATTTATATCTCAAATCTACACTTTACAGAAGTAATAGTATTTATCAATTGCGTAGTGTGTTTCAAAAATTCATTGCAAATCCTATATCTGGGTATATAGGATAAGAACGACCTTAGGTATATAGGATAAGAACGACGCTACCTTAGTATCAAAACACATCAGAACTACTAAACGGTGATATATGCACTTTTGATATTCCATAACGTCGCATAATAAAATTGCCTGAAAATTGGAAAATTGTGATCCAAACAAATCGCCAAATACATTTTATAATAATACTTTTTGAATATTTATTTTATTTTCAGTTATTGAAATTAACATACTACTTAAATTATAGTGATGATAGTGATTGATTTTTAAATTGAACCAATAAATGGCAAACACCTATAACTGCCCTTCTTCAAATAAAAAACTCGATACAACTCTAATCTCTAAGAAGCATATTATGAAAAGTATTCCATATCTGCTTTATTTAAACGAAGAGAAGCTCTGTTAAATATTGAATATAATAAAATAACCTGATTGAACCTGATTGGGAAATTAAATTGTGTTTCTAATTTTCTTTAAAATACTTCTAATGTTTAAAAATTTATTGAAGTGCTCCAATTTAATACTCACCTTCGGTGTCATTAAACCCAAACGCACACCCTGCATTAAGTCTGCCACATGTTTTTTTCTATTGACGGGATCATAGTCAATCCATTTAATGCATAATTTCCATACACTATCTTCCTCCCGTGTGTTCAATTCATCATCGCTTATGATCTCATAGAAATCCTTTAATCCGATTTCCATTATGTCCTCATTTTTTAACGCAACTTCTGGAAAGTAACGTAACATATACATACGTGCTTTGTCATATAAAGCGTCAAGAAAACGAAACCTGCGAGTATAACAGAAATGAAATAGCTTTGAGTAGAAAGTAATTAAAAAAAAATTATTTAAGAGGAATTATGATGGAAAAAGGAGACACCGTCGTCAAAAGTAGGCTGAGTGTTTGAAGGACGAAAAGAAAATGTACTGTGAGGTAATACGTTAGTGGTTGCGATTAAATACAATTCAGATGAAATCTCTGCTGCATGCACTTGACTTAGAAACCCACAATGTTAATTAAGCTATAAATTTGTATGTGGTTATTAAAAAATTAATCCATTCAGCATTTGGCTTAGGTACAATAGATTGATGTTCGTGCTTTTCAACCTACTCCATAAGAAAAATGGCTTAAATATTTGATTATTTCATAAACTCACCTAGCAAAACTCATAATATCGACGCAATTTATTGGTGACAGCATTTTTGTCATTTTTCTTTCGCAAAGCTTCACAAGGCCCATCATTCCCAAATAATCAGCAGATACCAATAATTCATGGACATTATCTTCTGTTATTTGGCATCGTCTAAGATAGGCGTAGTTAATTAATTGCTCCATAATAGCTGCACTCATTCCAGGAATGCATACTCTTCGGCTCACTTCCTTGTCATATTCCGATATGCCACTATTGAAACCAGTAAATTGAGCCCTAAAAACAGCAAAATTGAAAATTGAATCAACTTTTGAAACAAAAATAATGGAAAACATAAACTTTGTACTTCAAATTAAACAAAACTTTCAATCGAAATTGAACCTTTCGTTTTTATTTTCTATTTTTTTCAAGCACCTGAGGCATGTAAATACATTGATTGGTATAAAAATCACAAAAAAAAAAAAACAGACAAATAGATTTTGTATTAAAACCATTTTAGCAAATATCAGAAACCAAAGCTATTCTTCCAGAAATAAGTTTTTGCGTTTTACGTTAGATTCTACAAATGGACTATGAAAGGACTAAAATCTTTAAATAGACTATGAGGAGACCACAAACTTCCTTAAAAAAATTTATCTTTTGGCTTGTTAAAGCTTTAATAACGCTCAAACGAATATAAAAACTACATAAAAAATATATCTATGAATAAATTATATATAAATAATATATTTCCGTTAAGTATTTCCCCACATAAGCTTCACATGATATTATAGTCAATTTTTTATGCGAAATGGATATTAGTACTTGGCCTTTATCATCATCAGCGTAACAGCTCGGGGTGAGCTTTAACTGTATTCACTTTTGTGGTCTATTATCCGGCATTTTGATGGTGTGTCCTATCCATCTCAAGCGCTGCGACTTTGCAAACTTTACAGCATCTTTACTGTTACAAAGTCGTTGCACACTTAATTTCGTCCACACAAAGGCCTTTCGAATTCGTCGGATGCAAATCCACTGGATTATTTCATCTGAGTTATTTTTGAGAACAAGGTGGTGACTAAAAAATATGATAGTACAGATGCGCTGAAATAAGCCATTTTTCAAAAATAGGTCAAGATTCCAGAGGAACACACTCACGAAGCATGCAACTCACCGTTTGAAGGCCATTGTCAAGGCATAAGGTGACCACATCGAGCTATAGTGAATGCATTCTGAAATTTTGATTATTTCAACAAATTTTTGTAATTTGAATTAATAAAAAATAATTTCACACCAAATAGATATGGTCGCTTCAATAGGTAACACTTTAATCGCCTAACGTTGTAGATAAACTAAAATTACAAAGCTGTCTTAAGAAATAGCGACAATAGTATGGGTCAAATGATTATTAGGAATGTTTTGGGCGTGAAAAGAATGACAGCCAGATTTGTTAGGAAACCATTGAATCCTGCTTTGCTGAACTAACAAACTAAACTATGTTGCGAAACATGGCATTAGGAAAGGGTGTCACAAGCATCCTATTATACCGACATGTTGTACTGTAATTTTTTACTTTCTTCCAAATTTAAAAAAATTTAAAGAACAACATATTTAAACATATGATAAAGAGCGAACTAAAAGATACACCGAAAAACGTGTCTACTGAAAGAGAGATAAAAATTGAGAACTAAGTTAACATTTTCTAAAGGTATAATAAACTCCCGCTACTTTTTGATCACACCACGTATATGTGGAACCCTTTATAAAAATACTGTAAAGGTATGATGAACTTTCAGAGTTCTTTTCAGTGTACAGTCTATATATGACTATATATATCCACTGTAAATCCGGTCTTCTTTTCTGATGTCAAGTTAAATGTTATCAGTGCGATCAGAATGAAACTAATAGGAAGTGAAACTAAGGTTTTAGCAAATTTATATAACTAAAAAAGTTCAGAACTATCTATTATCATTGTCTATAAATATTTCAATTTGACGAAAAATAAATATAAAAATTTGAGTGATTTGAATCTAAGCCTAATTTTTTAAAACATTCCGTTTTCCAATCAAATATGAAAATTATCTTACTTCTCTAGTATTTTATAATTTAATAATTAACTACCTCTCAATTAAATACTTTATATGTTTGATGCTATCGAAGAAATTAGGAAGTTAATGGACCGGAACAATCGATAAAGTAAAGGCTAATGGCACAAGACATTTCTTCATAATTCTCTCGACATCTATTTAAATGTGTTAAATGCAGCTAACAGAGTGTAATAGTTTTTGCAGAAAGTGGATTGCTGTCCAAATAAGTATTACGTCTCCATCCTCGAAAGACCATAAACAGAGTGTATCTGGTCGAAAAGTGTTGGAAATAATCTTTGACCCTTTTTTGTACCCTCTGGATACATAAATGTAGTATGGTCGGAAAATGAAAGATCCTTTAGGACAACGACGCTGGAAACGATACAAAGACAAATGTTTTTAGACTATTCACTAAGTTAGTTAACATACTTAGTGAAAGCAAGTCGATTGTTTTTTATTTGTTCAATCTAGTTTTCTTAAATACTTTGTAGAAATATAAATTTGAAAAAATTTGAGGAAACTAAGCAAACAATAAATTTTATATGTTTAAAATTGTTAGAAAGGAAAATCCTCCATTTAAAGACTACAATTCAAACGTTTTTAAAGAAGGGAGAGAGTAAAAAAAGAGAGGAATTCAAAATGCCATTCAATTGTTTTTTATAAAAAATATTTTCGGAGGTAAAAATTATTTAAATTTTTCGAAATCTTTGTCTTGGCATTTGAATATCCTACGTTTGGTCATAGGTTAGAATATTGTGATTAATAGGGATTTGAAGGCAGCGGAAGCAAAAAGTGAATAGTGATATATGTTAGGTTATAACGGGATCCCTGGTGGAAATAGTGATAAAAAACTTAAGACACTTTTTAAGTATTTACTAGAGTTTTATTAGAAATTCTGTTAATTATTGAATTTATGGAAGCTTGTTGTGTAGGGCTCTGAAACAAAGACTACATTTAAATCAGATAATTTGAGTTTATAAGTTATGGCAGACGTTGCAAATCTAAAGAATCGAAAGAATAGAGTAGACTAAGTAAAACAGAGTAACATGAATCCACAGACTAATGTCCTATTATTTTCAGTTTTAACTAATCCTTCAAATATTTTTTATAAAGTTCACTAAAGCTGTTGTCATCATCTATCTATCCATAGCATGTGTCATGATTGAATTTTTTTATTTTTTGGGTGAACATATCCCAAAAACTGCCAAATTTTGGCTAGAATTGACATATATTTCCCTAACCTTGCTTCTGCTAAACCAAATGGTATAGCCTAAATAAGATCTCTTGGTGCAATATGTATTGCGTACATATACATAAACTATTAGCACTCTATCTAAGATGGACTAAATTACCCCACTTGTTAAAAATACCACCTGTACTAAGCTCATTATTTAAAATATGAACACATACGCTTTTGATTTTAGGAATGGAAGGTGTTTATGCACATACAACGATCATTTTGTCATATGAATATATGAATATATGACAAAATGAATGATTTGTAAAATTTCTAACAAAAATGAACGACTCACTAACAATCTATATATCTGTAACATAGCAAAATCATGTTTTTTAAAAACACTTGTCTTTTATGTGGATACGAGGTATGTAGGAAGTTACAAAAATTTTCAAGTACCAACTCTAGTATTGAAAATGATCATGTTTTGAATATTTAAGACTTATGCTAGCAAAGTAACAATAAACTCTAAGAATAATTCAAATAAAGATGATTACCTGAAGTACGTACTACATGCACTCATGATAGGTCGATGTACATTGTATTTCTCATCTGATACTATTATAACAGCATCACATAATTGATTTTTCTCTCTCAATTCATTTAATGATTTAAAAACTTCGTCGCTACGAGAACGAAAGATGGTTTCATTATTTAAATCGTCATCGGAGTCTTCTCCCACATTGATTCCATCATCATTGCTCAAGTCGTCCATTAGCTTTTAAACCAACCAATTAAATTGATAGGCCAAAGGCCATTCCTGACATACCTACAACTGTAAGATTTTGTAGTTAGTATATTTGTTGGTTAGTAGATTTATATTTCAAAAACATCATTATGAGTATTCTCACCCTTCAATGAGTGGTTTTTTACAGTTTCTACCAACTCACGTCAATTTTATTGTCGTAATTGAAAGACTTAAAACTAAAAATATATCCGGTAATTTAGAAGAGCCAGAACTTTAATTTGAATGGCTACAAATCTTGCACTTCTTGTAGACTGTGGAAATGGAAGTGATATTGTAAAGGCAAAAATTTGAAGCCAAAAGGTAAACCGAAAATTTTGAGGTCGAAAAGGGTTGGAATAAACTGAGCCAAAAATGTTGTATTAAATTTAAAAACTAAAAATTTTATTTTTAATGCATAATTTAATATTAAAAAAATTCAAAAATGAAGTTTCTTTAAAAATCTAAGGTATTTCTATAATTTTTTCTCTAGTTTTTTGATAAAGTCGAATAAGGTAAATAGTTTCAAATTTACACTTTATCGGACTTATTGAAGAGAAAATAACTAACAGAAGATATAATTTTTAGGGATTTGGTTTACTTAACATATTAGCCTGTAATTTAAATAAATAAAAAATATTGACTCTATATATTGTTTCTATTTGAAGCATCATATTTCGGGTACTTTTTTTCCCTCAAAAAATCATAAATAACGCAGATTAAATGCGAAGATAATCTAGCGTTTGCAATATTAATCGTACGTTAAACAATATAATATCTTCCCGTGGTCGAAATCACGTGTCAATGGCTAATAAATTTGCAAAAGTGCGGTCATTGTTCAAAATGCTAAATGAAATTACATACAATTTAGTGTCTGGGCGGAGCATTTAGCAATCGATGAAACCATGGTACCATACTTCGGTCGACATTCTGCTAAAATATTTACTCGTAACAAACCAATACGTTTCGGTTATGACCAATGGGCCTTTTCCTCGTATAGGGGGTATATCTTTCAGTTTCTGCCATACTAAGGTGCAACTGACTATTACGACAAACAATTGGTAATTGGTCCATCTGTTGAAATGTAATTATTGAGCTAGTTTTAAAATAAGATCTTTCTGAAAATTACACTATAAAATTCTAAGTATAAACTTTCCTGGTACTTAATGGGTTAGATGGGTAAGTTCTGCCTGTTTTTTTCGACGTTGTTTGTATATCGATTGCTTTGGTCTTTATAATTATTTTGGTGGCCCATTTGACCTGAACTAATTTTATCTAATGAAGTACTTCATTTAATTTTTTTTATATTCTGTTTATATTAATGTCTTGTAGTCTTAGACTGATATCCAAATATAACAATATTATTTCTTTCCAATTTATTTGCTTTTTTTGTAAAATTGGGTTCTATAACTACGTTATACCAGAGGTGTGAGTTAAGCAATGGGATGCCGCCTTTTCTCACAGTTAATCAAAACAGTTTTAAGATCAACTGAACCAAAATGTCTTTTAAATGACTTATTAGGGTCCTATTACAGAAACGATATGGACTAGTGTTATATATTGAGTTGTTTGAAAAGTAGTTTTGAACGATCCAAATTGTTCTAAATTTAAAAGTTTAAGTAATTCGAATACAATTATATTTAGAGTTCTGTTATGAATTATGACAATAATAATTAGTATTTCATTAATGCGATAATTCAGGAGCGTTTAAATACAGACTTATGAACAAGTCAAAAACTGTGATATTAAACTATATATATGCACTATTGCCATAAATTCAAAGTAGAATTTATGCTATTATGCTAATTCTGAATATAATTGTGTATTATACAACTGTGTTTATTATAATAAATTATTGCGTTTTCGATTGATAAATATGGATTCAATCTAAATTTACTTTCGATCTGTTAAATTTTGTTAGTTAATCGAACGTTTTTAGAGTCAGCAACTTACAGTTTTTCCGGAAAAATTTATAAATGTAGAAAATTGTACATATATATTTTAGGTCCAAGCTTGAATTATTTTTAGAAGCGACAATGGTATATCTCAATCTATAATATCTATTGTGCTATCTATGTAGAGAGTCTCATAATTTAAGCTTGACAAATTAAGGCCATTCATGAACATAGTAATGTTTCTTAATTCTAGATCTATTCGACTAATTTCCTGGTATTCGCAAGGAATGAGTAAATAAAACGAGTAAAAGTTTTACTCTGTATTTTGTGAATCTGCAGATGCTAATAGGAGCATGTCCAAATTAAAATATTAGTGATTAATCTATCGAAGTAATTGTTGGATTGCCTTAGACCTTAGCTTATATTTTATGTTTATTGTATACTCATAATATTTACATTTACTGTATATTTTAAGTACTGATAAAGAGTTTGTGTCTTATAAATGGTTCATCCATTCACTCTTGCAATCTTGTTAGCTCTTTCAATGCCATTAATTAACTTCTGGCTACCTATCCAAATTAGTGATATTTTATTCGTAGGCGCCTACTCAGATGTGAATTTTTTGCATCTTATGACCGTCTTGGACGGTCCAACCTGTTCGAGTATAAAGTAATATTGGTGTATATGTTTTGTCTTTTTTGCATTCTGAGGAACAGAATTCTTGAGAATGTACTTCTGATTAAAAAATTGTACGTTGAATTCCATTTGGAACAGCTATGCTATATCTTGATCCGTAGATACTAGCACCACTGTGCATTTTTATTAATAATAATAATTTTATTATTATTAATTATTGATTTAATTAATGAATGAAACGTTGAGGGGCTTTGTGAACTCATTATCTTCTAAAAGTCAAAATCATCAGCAAGGTTATTGCTTTCATCTATGAGTTATGTTGTACTTTCTTTAAGATGTTTTTTTTAATAATTTTGTCATAATTTAAAAATAGTACACTATTATTTTACATAATAAAACCATTTTATTTTGAAACGACACAATTTAAAGTCGACAATTATTTAAACTAAATTATTCAATATGCGAACAGGATTTTCTAAGGGAAGGAGTTGTTTGCAGTTAGGTTTCATTGATGCATAAATGAAATTCTGCATACCACGCAAGAATCCCTTTTTGCGCAGACTCCTTCATCAGGAAATGCCAATTTTACTTAAAATCGAATAAAAAGCGGAACGAACGCTGAGGATACTTGTAGTCACTGGTTGGATTTTGATACGCTAACAACTACACCAGTATAAACTGAAAGAGAATTATTTTTTTTTTGTTACGAAAATGTTTATGTTACGTTTGTTTTCGTTACTATTGCTTTGCATTATTGTTACATGGGCCAAGGACGCTTGGCAGAAACCGGGCTGCCACAAAGTAGGTAACACCAGAAAGATTTCTATACCTGATTGTGTAGAGTTTCGTATAACAACAAATGCATGTCGCGGATTTTGTGAATCATATGCCGTTCCATCCATTCCATGGGGTGCAGTAGGAGGTGTGTTTAAGCCGCCTAAACCGGTAGTGTCGGTGGGCCAGTGTTGTAACATGATGGAGTCAGAAGAGGTAATCCAAAATGTTTGTCTTAGTAGAATTAAATTTAACGTAACCATAGCTTATAATGAAGTGATCGCGTTTTATATATTTAATTCAATTTATGTAGATACAAAAACGAGTCCTATGCATGGGAGGAATGAGAAATTTTACTTTTAAGTCAGCTGTATCATGTAGCTGTTATCATTGCAAAAAGGATTGAAGGATTGAATATTATATTATTTTGAGCATAAATTTTAAGGATGCTATATAAACACGACAAATATATGTAAATTATATATATGATGTAAAAATTGCACTGAGCCACACACAACACTCTTTACTATCAAATGTAAATATCAAAAAGTGAAATGTTAAATTCCTAAATAAAAAAAAATTGTTTTTCGCTGTAAAAAATAAAAAGTGATACATTGTCTTGTTTTTATTTAAAAAAAAAACGTTATAAATTTTGTAAAAAACGTGTAATAAAATAATTACTTATATCCCACTACATTTTGAATTTAATCTATTGCTGTGAATAAACAGTAAACATTTCTGAACTGGGTTAAAGCTTCGCTTTTGGTTGTTCACTGGTTTTTACAAGCACATCCCACATTTGGTCAAGCGACAGCACCAAAGCTTTAACGAACTCATCAACGTTTGTTTCTTTATTATTACGCCAAGCAGAACATGCTAGTATCAAATCATCATCACGAGGATTGTAGCAACAGCCATAGCCATTGTCTGTTGTTGGTCCATAACACATAAAGGCATTGTTTTTAGAAGCTACTTGTGAAGTTGATATACGGAAAGTAGAAGACTTCACAAAGCCTGGGCTGCTGAAGAATTTTGGTATAGGTTGACAATATTCTACAGCCATTAATTTAAGACCTAATAAATGACGATCTACTCCACGTCCCTGTAATGCCAAAGAGGTGTACTCTCGATGACTATTGACTGCTTTACGTAAAAGCTTAGCACGTTCTTCGTTGGAAACCTCTTTGTCCATCATTGCTTTTGCAAATGCTACTGACTCCACCGAACAGGATCGTATTGTTTCAGTACGACCACCAGTATAGATGCGTAGATGCGCTGACTCATATTGTGCACCGGGCACTTTGTGATACCTTTAATTATACAAATTATATAATATAATTAATTAATTAATATTTTATAATTACATTATTTAATTGAAAAGGAACTTGCTTATTTTACTAACCTGTAAAACGCTAATTGTATGGCCATTTGTATAAAACTGTCAGGGCTGAGTTTTTGCGTTTTAAGAAAGCCTTTGCCGTAGCAGGTATAATGTAAAATATTCATTCTTAGGTTGAATGCCAATCCAGTAATGTAATGCTTAGCAGCAGCTACGTGCATATTTAGACATTCACTAGTAGTTAATTTCAGTTTTACTGGACATTCAAAGTTGTCTGATGCACCGTCGGTTTTATCTCCCTTTTCCCTTGATATGAAGAAAGAACAGATTGCTATTAGTTGTGTGAATATATATGTAATATATTTTAGAAAAACAAGAAAAGTGCCAAACGTGTGAGTTGCCAGGTATCACCTTACGGAGTGATAACCCAGGAGGATTTTTTTTTTATTTATGGCTACGACTATTTACATTATAAACAACGCGTAGCTTATATCTGATCAATACCTGGGCAAGTGCCAGAGATATTATTTTTTCAAAGTACATATAAGTGACAAATCTAACATACGTGAAATAAATCTGGAAAATGTGCTAATTGTAGGTCCTGCTGAGAACGCGAACGTATTATTGACTATTGCAGGATACGGTCGAACAGAAGAGTTGCACAATTTTTGGATACGCATGAAAATTAAAATTTAAATTTTCTGTTAAAAACAAAGATTTTGAATAAAATAATTGATAGTTGATTTCTCAATATTCGGCACTTAGCAAACGCCTATTAAGAATAAACGCAATCACAGTTTCTCAAACGGACTAGATCAGCGTGGTGCTTTTTACAACATACTCAACTGGTATGTAATAGTATCTAGGAGCCTGTGTGTGACAACTAATGTCAGTTATATTAATCTATACTATAGCTATTAAAAGTGATTAATGTTTGAAACTATGAGAGCCAAAGAAAACTCTACTATGATAGTTAATTCAATTAGGTGTAGCTGTGTTTAATGCGTTCGCTTTTATATTTGTAGTGGGCTCTAGTCAATTATATATTTTTCATATAAGAATTAACATTTTGAGAATTGTAAAAAAATGAAATAAAATAAAAGAAATTTTCATTCTCAAATAACTAGAATAATGTAAATAAGGATGCTTTTGTTTTAATATCATTAATACAGTGTTGAGTATTGAAATAATATAGCACTATATATATTAAAAATATAGTATCATAATTAAAATATCAATTTCTAACTTCTAAATTATTTATTTTTTTTCAAATTAATTTTTAGCTTTAAACTAAAATTTGTTTTTCAATAAAATATGCAACTCAAATATCAACATATTTAAAAATATTTTATATAGAATAACATAGTCAATCTAAATTATTCATTCGTCGACTTGATCGGCCTGAATTTATAAAAACTTTCAATACTCAGTTTTTGCGGATATTTCAAGAACCGACCGATATCTAGACAAACAGACATAAAATTGCTGTCGTTTTTCTAGGTAAGTTACCGAAACATATGTAAAAGTTTGTATCTTTAAATCTATATCTATAAATCTATTTCAGATTTATATCAAATTTTCTACTATGCAGTATGAAAAAATTACTCAAAGTAGCAGACTAGTAGTACTATAATCCATTATCAAATGGGTTTGTTCGCGATATCGAAATCACGCAAAATTCTTTCATTTTTTGATAGATGTACTTACATTTTCTTAACTACATGATCCATCATTAACGCGATAGGTACACCTTCAGCTGGAGAGTGTTCATAACAGAATCCATTTAGACCATTACGATTAACAATTAACTGTTAAAAATAAAATAAATATCTATATTTATATGCTTATAGGTATTATTAGTAAAGTTGTCATAGCTTTAAGGTTGTTATATATAATTTGTTACTAAAAAATCTACATATAAGTTAACAGTAACAAATCTATCTGAGTTCACTAAATACCAATAGGTGTATACGTCATTTACAGCGAACTAGTCAAACTAACTTACTTGTACTACTACACTATATAAAAAACCTTACTGGACACATACAAAGCAATAGAACGCTCTATTGCAGCCTATGCAGCTCAAGTATGGACCTCACATCTGCTATACGTAATGGAGTGTCTAAAATAAATTTACTATGAACTAAGTAGGTTTCAATCAATGTCCCGAAACTACTCGTTTCTGCGGATGACCAATTGCTATTCGTATCCCTTAACAAAGTCGGCTTCTTTGATATGTCATGGTACTAGAACTCAGATATTTAATAAATAAAAAATTAATCTGTAGCATGTGTTATTTGGGTAAACTATTTTTGAGATACAATTTTTTGATAGTTTTTTTTTTTTCATTGTGTCTTTCTTTGACAGCCCGTAACTCAGTGTCTATTAAAAATTTAAATAAATCTTAGTCTACTTCAATACGATTTATGTTTTGTTTTTGCTTGACCGTTTATATATATTAATATATTTATTGTTAATATTTGTTTTAATAGCTAGGTAGTTTTTTTTTTTTTGAATGCGTAGCTGTAGTTATTTAGATACGAATTTTATAAATACTCAAATTATGTAGCTTTGATGACAAAATACGTATAGGTTCTAATCATTAAAATTCATCAACTATGTAGGGTAATTGATAACAAATTGTAAATTATAATTAAATTTATAATTAATTAATTAAACTGAATTATATTAATTTTGTTTTAACATTTAAGTTAACATACCTGAATAGTTTTATCCATCCATCTATTTGAACTGTTGTATTGTACTCCACCCCCATGTATAAGTTGTCCCGCAAGCACAATGTTTTCCTGTCCTTTCTCCACAGGAACGCAGTCATCTAGGGAAAGAGTGAAAAGTGATTTTTGTATTTCACATACACTTTCTGCATTTCCAGGAATTTCCATAAGAATCTTATAAGCTTCTGCCCAATTATCCCGTTTTATTGTGGTTAGAACGCCAAATTCACAGCCCTTCTCTGTTTCGGCTTTCCAGATATTCATTAGTTGTTGCGCCATTGTTGTAACAGAGAGTGGTTTGCCTGATTTGTCATAAACTGCAAATTTATAAAACTAGAAAACATAATTAATGACACTCTATCCATTAAATTAGAACTTAATAAAATTTACATGGTTTTTGCATATAACCACAATATGTTGCGAATCGGGATTGTAGTCCATAGCGTCCTCTTGCGGTTTTGGTATACGGCATGTTCCTAAAACCCGTCCGAACTGGGAATTGTCAAGTTCATTTTTACCCATTTTTACAACTGGTATTTCGCCATTATCAATAAGTTTTTTATAACCTATTAAGTGGTAAACTGCTACAGCTGCATAATTAATAAAATCTTCCTCAGTCTCAAAACATTGTATTGGAAATGTCATTCCGGGACTAGAATATACTGTAACAGGATCACGATATTGTAAATATGCAGCACGCAACCATCGATGTGCTAACCAATTTTCTTCCGATGCAGCAGCTTTTTCTAGTAATTCTTGAAGCTTTGCACCATCTCCCTTTCTGAATTCATCTGCCATTCTTTTGGTTTTCATCTGTTCTTCCTTGGTTAGTAGTGGTTTCGTAGTTGCAAGAAAACGCGTCAAAGTCTCATCAAGCGGAAAAGCGGGAAAACGTAAAAGATTTTGTTTTTTTTCCTCTGTTGAATACGCTTTTGAGTTCACATTTTTTTGATTTTGACTGGAATTTGAAACTGGATTCAAAATATTACGATTTCTTAAAATGTTTGATGCCTAAGGTAAAAAATCAATTAAAAAAATATACATAAATAAATACATATTTAATCATAGAAATTTAACAAATATAAGATAGTGATAGTTAAATTATATCACAGTTTTTTTTTATCTAACAGCAGTATAAGAAAAACAAAGTACAAATATGTATCAAATATTGTGTCAAAGATAAGCATTAAAAGAGAGTATGGTACATAGCAATAGCAGCTCGAATTACAAGAAAATGCAGCTGACTTAGGTCCTTTATATAAAGACGAGTACATGGGTTAGATGGTGGATAGGTAATAGTATTGTGAAAGAGTGGATCGTTTAGGAGTAATAATGGACTTAGGGTGAGTAAGCTTTTTAAATTGAAGTTAACCAGAATCAAGGCTGAGAAATTTCGCTACATCAGTGGGGTCGGTTCACAGATTGATTGGTTTCAAATTAGTGTGTGTATATATATATTGGGGCAGAAAAACAGTTATGAATTATAAAATTTTTATATAACGAATTATATGAGAAAATTAAGTCGTTTCTTATACTAGAACTTCTTATTAATTTAATATTTTTAAATTTATAACGGACCGAATTGGTATTAGGTATTATCAATAGGCATAATAAACTCTATTTCAATTGAATACTTAATAGCTACAAAAAATCCATATAGCTAATGCACATACGGAATAGGCTACTGGGAATGTAAATTTTTACAGAAGAGGCAATAAAACTCGATAATGTAGGTTCTATACTACTTTTTATTTACGCAACAGGGCTTAGAGATCTACTCTAAACCTAGAAAGGGGCACAATAGACCCGACGGTCGCAGTGTCACATCCCCCAACAATAATAATAATAAAAATTCATATCCACTCTCTTAGCTATGAGATCGAAACCGAAAACTACAATCATTTTAATGTCAATCAGGGCAAGTGTAGTTAAATTTCAACAGTTCACGCACAAATACACGGACAGACAGACGGATATTACTAGTTTGCTTTATCCGTACGCATATCATTTCCATAATCTCTAATGCATCTATCATTTTACATATCACCACTTGTTAATGAATACATTCTATTTAGATATATCAATGGAGTGTGCAATAACTTTAAAGAGCAAAGAGCTTAGTTAAAGTTGGAATAGAATAGTCTAACACTTACTGATAACGTTATGGAATACCAAAAATGCGAACATGGAAAGGATGAAGTTGCGTTATTGGCTTTAATATATAAATCTTTGTCTCTTTTGTTTATGAAATGGGAATTGTAAATTAATTGCAATATTTTTGTTTTCGCTTACCATATGATAAAAAACACGATGTTGTCTGAGAATAGCTGGGTGTGTTAGGAGCTTCATATTGTCTTGCACTTCAATAGATTGTTGCGTTGGCTCCAAATTTTCGCAAGAGGGACTAAAATATAAAATATTTCGTTATTTAATTACTTTACAAAAATTGAATATTCGAATTTAAGTTCCTTAATTTTTAAATCCAAATTGACCTTTGATTTTTAAACATAATAAAACACAGCAAAACAGATTATCGCAGCAAAGATTAACGAACAAGTCTCCTACTACAGAAATTTGCTGTTAAAATGCAGAAAATTTTGCTTCAACTTATTTACGATGGCAAAAAGTAAAAGTGGAATTTAAACTAGAAAAATCAGACCACGTAGTCAAAACACAAAAAACAAGTTACCGACACCACTTGTCGTACCAGAAGTGCCGCTCCACAAATGTGATAACTGAACAGAACTAAACCACTTTTTATCGTTTTGTTTTGAATTATTTATTTTCGTTGTGGACGATACTCACGCCAGAGCGAGTTGTTGTTGTGCTCTCCGTAAACATTAGCATTAGCTTTTCAATTGACGGCAATTGTTTTTTTTTATTATTTGCGACTAGTATTTAGTTAATTTACTTACAATTTTTATCCACCTTTACGGACCCTATAGAGTGTAAATGTGGCTTTTCGCCCACTTAGTCCTACATCATTAAAAAAACAATTGTTAGTCTCAAATTATTTTTACTGGATTCGCTGTCTGTTTTGGTTTTACTTTACTTACCTGTTTATCTGTGCAAACAGCTGTTCTCCGTCTAACAAAAATTTTTATTTTTTTTTCTATATTTTACACATCTTTTTTAATAAATACTGGTACAATTCATTTTCAATTCAATAAAATAATTTTGAGTTTTACTTCCTATGTAGCTATATTTTTATTTAATCTTCAGAATTTTATTAAATAATACAAACTTAATTTTAAATTTTGTTTTTTGTGCATTCTCTTTTATTCTTCGCTTTCTATTAAGCGTTTTTGTAAGAGTTTTGATCATTTTTGCTCATTTGATCGTGTTGCCAACTATTTGTGACTCTTTATAATTCGCACTCAATAGATGGCAGTAATAAGGAATTGCGTAAAAGCAATAGATGGCAGGTATAAAAGCTGAAGTTCTTTATCTTATTTAAATAGGGTTATAAAACCGAACCGAAAATACCGAACCGAAAATAACAGTCAGTTCAAAATTTTTTATAAAAAAAAGCAACAACAAAAAGTTGTCTAAACTCATATTTAAGTACATAGTTATCACTCTAACAACTTTTATTCGCAGTATTATGCATGCTTTTTATATATAAACATATTAAAATAAAACTCTAACAATAATAATTAAATTTGCTTTTTATAATCTATTCCTCAAAAATAATTATTTTATGTGCTTTTTATTTTTTTGCGCAAACGTAACTCTTAAGATTCTGCTTTTTATTTTAAAACGTACAAATAACTGGTACTTTTGCGTTATGAATATAAAAATCATGGGTAACTCCCAATTTCCGCCGAATATTTTTAAAACGAAAATATAAAATGCAATTTTCATACAAGGTAGTTGTTTTTGTGATTACATACAAAATGATTTAGGTATGGGAACAACTTCTGCAGTACTCCAACTTTGTGGGTAAATACTTTTCTTAAGAATGTTATTATATAGTTCGATTAATCTATTTATTAAGATTGAATATAGACTTATCAATTGAAAAGGCCATTAATACCTTAAGGGTGCTCACTAAATTTGCAAATGCCTCTTAAACTTCATAAACTGAAAACAAACCTCAAAATGTAAGACACAATGATATATAGCTATAATTTATGGTAAAACTATATAAGTCTAAGACATAAACACAGTTTGCTCTTGGTCTTAGAAATAAGAAACAGTTATTTTCTTTATCCATCACATATTTTTGCTGCTTACATCTACAACTATTCATTATAATAAGAAGTGCATTCTAATTATTTGAAGAGTTGAAGAATTGAAGAGGATGGTTGTGATGCATTTCTTCAAACAAAAAAAAATTGAAGTTGCATTGAGTGTTTAGTAATCAGTCTATTTATTTGCACATGCTATATAATATTCTTTAGTCTATAATAATATAATTCATCATAGAACAATCGATAGAGATGCGATCCTCCATTTATCTGTTATTCATTGATTTTGAAAAGGCATTTGAATCGTTTAATCGAAATTGCATATGGAAAGAGTTGAAAAATATTTGCGTCCTGGCTAAAATAGTGTCCGTAATTGCAAAAAGTTATGATCAATTTAAATGCACAGTTTTATATAATAACAAATTGTCTGAGCCCTTTTGTATAATTAATGACGTACGTCAAGAATGCGTCCTTTCCATACTGCTGTTTTTAGTTGTGCTTGATGCAGTGGCCAAGAGAGCAAATAAAGGAAAGGTACGAGATATTGTATGAAACCCATTATCACCAAACACAAGGCTAGAGTATTTGGACTATGCTGACGACAAATACGAGTTGTCACATCGGTTTAATGATATGCAGCAGAGACTTAATGACCTGTCTTTAGAGTCCTACAAAGTCGGAGTGAAAGCATAAAAAGCAAGCTGAGAATATTTGTCAACCGCTGTCTTCGCAGAATTTTGTGTATTTTCTGGAGAAACAGAATATCAAAGCAAGACCTTTGGACCAAAACAAATGTAAGAGATATCAACTTTAATATTCGGGCATACACTTCGAAAGGTTCCTACCGAAATTTGTCAGCAGACGTTGGTATACAACCCGTAAGGTAGTAGAGGAAAAGGTAGTCCAAAACAACATGGAGAACATGTTCGTTAGAACATTTCAAACTTCAAAAAAGTTCGATACACTCGAATAGCAAATCCCCTTTATATTTAATTTATTTTTTTTTTTTATTTTATACAAACATTTATAATATTTTCAAGCGGTACACTGTACCCTAGCACGCTTGAACATCAAAATATTTGAAGTTTCAAAGAACTTGAACGATTTTGGAAGCACTAATTTACAGCCATATTTCCCAATATTTCTATAACCATTTAAAGAATCTTAGTACAGATAAGTTAATTGTAGTGAACAGTCAGTCTTAAACGGTCTTCATAATAGAATCCATGTCAAATTAGTCGAAAGTCTTAGCAGTTGAAAGAGTCATCACGTACTCCTAGTTCCTCACTCTCTACTCATTGCATATAAATTCTAGCAAATCAAATAAAAACTCGTGGCTGTGAGTTGTGTCTCGATAGTATCTATTTTAATATCAAATTTTTAACTGCATTGTGTTGTATCTCACAAGTAACTTCTATTATTTCATTATATCACTTATGTTAAGATAAGTATTTACATCCTTTTATCAGCACCCAAAGCAGATAAATAAAAATAAAAACAGAAATAATTATTATTTAAGTTTGTCGTATCTGTGAATATTTTCTCATAATTATAGATAATTTATAAATATCAAAAAGATACAAATGTACAACATAGAGTACTTTTAATAACTCATTGAAGTAATTAAAATTGACTATTTGGTGCATTTTATAATTATCATTAAAAGTACAATTTCTGATTTTCTGATATTTCTTTTCCAAAATTCCCTTTCCAGATAAGACTGAATATTTATGATTTTTTTTTCTATACTCATAATTTAATATTTTTAGGATGTAAACCATAATCAGATCGGCTTATGCATCCTTGAATATTCTCTAAAAATTTATGGTGATATTCTACAATCTATAAATAAACATTTTTTCATTTTCGATATCATATATTACATAAAAAGAAATTAAAACAAAATAATTAAATAAACACATTAATTATTTAAATATATATTTACACTTAATATTAAGATTTATTAAATATAATTCCAGGATCTCTTTCGAAGTAAAGAAAATCGAAAATAGAAGGTTCTTACAAATTTTCTACCAAAATATTGACCGGCTCTATGACGCATCCAAAAGGTGGAAGGAATCACAGATATTCCAAAATATCTTCTTGAACGTATTCAGACATTTACCTATCGGTAATAGTAAATAAGATATTATTTGTAGTCCATGTATTAACATGGACGGTAGTAGGCATATAATACCACAATATCACCAGCAAAGTTCCACAAAGTTTCTAGCTGTTTCTAAAGTTTACTGATAAAAAATTTCAGTATTTATATGTTATAACCAAATGATATGGCTTGTAATGTAGTATGAAATCTGAAAATTTGACATTCGTCCAGTTCAGTCATAGTAGCAGAAATATTTCCATTTTCAAAAAATCATCGAGCAGTATTATCAGTATTAGCAGGCTTATCAACAATCAATTGCATTTGTTTTCTGAAACTTTCAGTCACTTAATAACTCAATTTTAAAATATAAATATATTAAAATTTAAAAAAAAATAGACGCTAGTTGGTTTTCACAAAGATAAAATAGTTGTTTTTAACACCTGATTTAAAAAAAGAACTACTTTATTTAGATACGTTAAGCGAATCAAATCAGGTGTCGATTTTTTGGGTACCGGGACATACTGGCGTACGCGGAAACGAATACGCGGACAAACTAGCCAGGAAAGGAACAACCACACCGATGATGGGGCCGAAACCTTTTTGTGGACTAATAAAGGAGAATCAGAATAAAAAGGATTACTGGGATAATATATTAGAACTAGAACAGTCCAAATCACTTATTGGTACCTATAACAATAAAAGATACCAGAATTGTGCGAACCTATCAAAAGAAAAACTTAGAATCATCACATGAATCCTAACAGGGCACTGTGAACTAAAACACCTCCTTACAAGACGGGACATACTTACAGATGCAAACTGTAGATTCTGTTCGTGTGCTTAGGGACCTACTCTAAACCCAGAAGGGAAATCAACTATCGATGCCAATACCATCCCATAGAAATGTAAATTTGTGCATTGCATGTCATAAGACGTTTCATTAATACCTAGAAATACTTAAAAGCTTCATTGCAGTGATGCTTTTTCGATGTAAACAAGGTGTGGGGAATCAATGTAATTGTTTGGTGAATTTAATATAATTTTGTACGGGAATCGTTATCGCTGCTACAAAGCATCCAAAAGTATCAATAAATAATCAAACAATTTAAATAAAAATAAAAATGTATATATATAGTATATTTATTTTAAAATGAAAATTCACGCCATTGAGGTCTACGCTCGTATCAACATTAACAATGGATTGAAAGGCGCCAGTATCTGTATTTACTCAGATAGCTAAGCAACAATCAAAGCATTATCCTTATGTCTCAAAACTTCTGGTAGACTGACATGGTGTAGCAGCTTGCAAGCAAAAACAAAATGATGCTTTGCTGGGTACCTGGTCATACAGGAATCAATGGTAATGAGTCTGCGGACACTTTTACGAGGTCAGGATCTGCCAATCGACTCTGTGGACCGAAGTCATATAGTAAATTAAGTTGATCTACAACTAGGTCTCTGATTGATAAATAGTTTTCAGCCGAGAGGAGTCGCCACTGGCGCGACATTCCAGGTAACTGCCAGGCTAAAGAACTGGTTCATCCCTAAAGTTATGGTAAAGTATCCTTCTTCAGCAGAACAGAATTGAGGTTGCTGGTGAATATTTAACGGGTCACCATGGACTGTGTTATCACCTTAACAAAATGGGTCTGTTCAAAGAGATAAATTGTCGACTTTGCATTGTCGACCCAGTCATGATCTGGGCTAGGGTCGACTTTCTCCTTCTGACATTAGGAAGCCCTCAACAGCTAACATTCTGGCTTTCATTCGGAAGGTGGAATGTCTTCTGTTCGGTTAGAGTCTGTTGTAGCACAAAAGTTCAATTATGGTTGCAGTGCTTCGCTTTGTTGGGAGCTGATACCCTGTTTATTTCTATTGTTTTCTATACTATATTAAAAAGAAGTACAAAGAATTTATATATAAAAAAAATTCACACAAAATATTGAGGTACAGCATAAAGCAATAAATTTCGCAAATCGATTCCGCAAAGTTGCTTAAAGCAACAATAAAGCATCGATGCCATTGCGATTCTTTCGCCATCGATGCTACTATAAGCTGTCTAAAATTTTTTTAAGATAATAAAACGGACTAATTATTTTTTTTTCAACTTTTATTTTATTTTAAAAAACCTTCCATACAAATTGTAAATTATAATGAGTGTTCATAAAGTTGTATGTAACAAATTAAGGAATTAAGTAATTTCTTTATAAATTAACTTATAATAAATTGTATTTAAATATTTATATTTCAAAGTAATCGACAGGTCATCACATAAAATATCTAAAGTACAAAATTCAAAAGTATATTATATATCTTGTATATTATTTATAATACATTTTCAGTTTCTTAATTTTGCAAGGTCTTTAAGGCAAAAAGTTTATAACAAAACATGGAATTATCACACATTATTATTACTTTGAACTTTATTTCTCTATAAAAATCACAGCAAAATTATAATAGAGTTTCTTTATACACATATTTCATTAACTCGTAGTATTTGAATTACTTTCATCGATAAGATTTTTGCAATTTAACTTTTTGAAAAGATTTTCGATTTTGAACACTTTCTTTACTATATAGAAATTCTGAAAATGATATCAGTTAACAATATAACTTAAAAGTAAATAATCTTTAAACTTGATGGGTTTACAATTTGGTAATATGGACCTTCACGGAGGTGGTTTTGTTGTTGGAATCATGTTCGACATTTACGTGAAGCAGTTAAAAAACTTATATTCTAATTTAAATTACATATATTTAGGTATATTTTAATTTTAAAATAAAATTCATATATTATTCGCATTAAAATTAAATACTACATATATTTCTTCGAGTACGTATATTAAGTATAAAAAGTTATAAAATGAAGGGATTATACTATAGCTAAGTTCTTTTTAAATAAAACCCACAACAATAATAAATAAGCTCCTTTACACCGCAAATCAACACAATAGTATTAAAGTTAAAAAATAATATTTAATATTTTAAGTTTTTAAAAATATTTGAGTTTAATACCTTACTAGTTGAATGCGTAACAGAGAATTGGCGCAAATGATGGTGTAATTATCTTATGAATTTATATACATGATTCTTACTATCACAGCAACTGGTTTGCCAATTAAACAAAATGTAATAAATGCTAAAAAATTGGCCTTAAATGATATTTACAGCGTTTCCTTATCAAAATAGAAAAAGTGAACAATACTTTCTAACCGAGAAAAAAGCTAAAACAGCTATAAACAGCTATTGAGTACGAGGGGATAGCATTCAAGCGAACCTATCCGGTCTCATTATTACAAAAGGAAAGAGCATATGAAGACTGCTTAGATTTACTTTTAAGTACTGAAGTTTAACTAAACAAAGGAAATTAACTGTAATTATATAAAACTATAAGCGAAGTCAAACGTCAAATGTACTGGTGCTTCTGCTTTGTACTGGTGCTGATGCCGATGCCGATGCTGATGTTGATGCAACAAAAGATGATGTTGGGTTTAAGGATTTTGGATGATGTTCAGTTGCTTCATGCCGTGAAACAAGTTCGTTGCTGTAACTTATATCACTGGCACCGACATCTGCTAGAGGTGAAGTGGTAGATATCGGCCAGCTTAAAAGTGTATCTGAGTTATTTAAATTTGAAATCGAGGGAGCAAAACCACTGCTGTCGGAGCTCAGAGTACCCTGTAAGTAGAAAAAAGGAATGCTCTATAAGTAATGTTTTAAATTAACATAAAAATGAAAACTATATTAATGTTGCCGAAAGATTCATACAAATTAAATGAATTGTAATCCCAAGAAAGAATATCATTTCTTCTTTGGATTTATTTTGAAGCTTATGTCTTATTTCTCACATACCTGATTATCATTTTTAACACATTTGGTTGTGCATTCATTTTCATCCACACTCGAACTCGTAGTTGAGGTATGACTGAAAGTACCAGCATCACTTTCATTACCCTCGTCCGTATCAGATATAGCGGGCTCAAGGTCTAATGCATAAGATTGGCGACGTTTCTTCATATCGATTTCATTGTATAATTCATAATCGGCATCTGCTATATTCTCTTCATCACTGCGTGTGATTAAGTGCTTTTGTTGTTTTGATAACGGTTTAAGAGCATCCTTTTCATTCATTTCAATGAGTGCCATTTCACAAGGATTATAAACGCTACCATTAGGACGATGACTATTGTCCTGTGTTGTTGTACTATGTAATATGTTGGCTTTGCAATACTTTGTATTTTCCGATATTTTACTAATACGCAATGTGGCGCGGGTGACAGCGTAAACTAATAGTACGACACCTAGTGCAAGACTGCCCCAAATTCCAATAATATCGAGGTATGGCAAAATATTTAGATAAAAATTGAAGCGGTTATCCAAAGACTCAGGCAATTCAGGCAGCATCTGGAAAAATAATGGTAAGATTGTTTTAAATATTATTAAGAGTTGGATGTGAAGTAAACTTACGATATCGAACCAGACCATTGGAACTGTTAGATAACTGAAACGTTCAGCTTTCTTAATATTTCGCAAATCATTAAAATGCATATTAATTTGTATTTTAGCTGAGATGGATAGTGGCAATCCAGATTGCTGCAAATACACAAAAACACATAAATTTAAAGATCGTTACTATAATGGCAATAAATATGACAGTTCTTATAAGGAAAATTGTACAGAATTTGTCGTCTAGAAGCACGCATGTCTAATTGTGACTTTCTAAAATCAACAAAAAAAAAAAACAAAAAAAAGTAGTCGTAAATTAACTTAATTGTAAATTAATTAGTTTTTAATTGATTTACTTATTTCCTGATTTAGAAATGTAAATGATCCACTCAGTTAGCCGAGTGGATTAGCCGGAAGTGTGCTAAATTTGCTCTATTCATGGCGAACTAATTTGTGTAATTGTTTTATCAGTTTAGACGCATTTGTTTATTAATGTAATTATTAATGTGTAATGTAGCAACAATAATAATAACAACATTATACAAAATTAATGTTTAAAAGCATATAATCAAAGTATATAAAATAATGACGTACATTTATTAACGTCTGTGAAGCGATCATCCTTTCAATGGAAAAACTGTTTCAAGTGCAGTTTTAATTCATGTTTTTAGCACGAAAGTTCAGGAGAACGAATTATGCGAATTAACATCCAAATCCGGTTAGCAAAAATGGGTATCTAAAGCGGTGGAGTTGAGTTTTCTTAGAACGGAAATAATTCTATATTTTTAACTAAACTTTTATTGAAATAGATATTAAAGTAAATTGAAATTTTCTGAAAGCAAGTAAGTTAACATATTTTTCCCATTTATTTAGATAGATAGATCCACGTAAAGACAACTCGTGAAACTAAATTTTGACAAAAAGTCATAAACGTTGTCAAAGGGTAAGATTCGTATCCCTCTATTATGTTAGTATAAAAGCTAGAGGACCATAGAAGTCTTATTATTGTAATTATTATTGTTATGGGATGTGGAACCGCGACCGTCGGGTCTATTGTTCGCGCTTCTTAATTTTGAATAGATCTCTAAGCCCTGTTGCGTCAATAAAAAGTATTATAGAACCTACTTTACAGAGTTTTATAGCCTCTTCCGTAAGGGTATACATTCTCAGAAGTCTATTCCGTTTGTGCATTAACACAGGTCATTCTAACAACACATGTGTAGCTAACTTCCCATTTTCTTCGCGGAATGTATTGTTCTCATCCGTATATATACCCCGTCTCGTAAGATGGTTTTTTAGTTTAGAGTGCCCTGTTAGGATTCCTAAAATGATTCTCTGATGATGAAGGAATAAGAATATTACACCTTCTTAAGTATCTCAGACACACATTTGAAAAGCTTTGTGGAGTGGTCTTCATTAAAAGACGATTTGGCATAGAGTTAGAAAATTGGGAGCTAAAATAGATTTTACATGATTGTAATGTAACTAAATTTGTTTTTAATTTTCACTGCATTTTGGATAAACTGCTTTCTGTATAGTTTAATACCCCGATTTGCATCGCATCAATTCGAATTGTGTCGCCGACAAAAAAAAATCGGTTTCGAATTGCGTCGTTTTTTAAGACATGCGTACAGAGGGGATTCCCATTTTATTTCTTGTATGTCACAGTTTTTAAAAGGGGTAGTGAATTGGAAAAGTAAATTTCTACTTTATTAAGTATAAAAATGAGTCAAAAGCGAAAACTATTTTCCTTGGAAATAAATATAGACATTTTAAAACGTTTTAAAATTGTAGAAAAACGTACTGACTTGGGAGAATTGTATGTATTTTGTATTTTGATTTGTGTCGTAAATTTTGTGAGTTATATCTATGTATAGCGATATTAAACTTTGAGTGTTTCCCTCTTTAACTTATTATCCAAATCTGATTCAACGATTTTTATGTAATCCAGATGAAATCAAACGAATTTTAAAAAATCAAAAAATAGAATGTGGTCTATTTCAATATAAAAGGACATAAAAAGTATGCTCAGGGAAAAAGATTTGGTTCCAACGAGGAAAAAATTATTGAAGCTGTAATCTATTTCGACATTAAAAGACATAAACAGTACGATCAGGGAAAAACATTTGGTTCTAAGGAAGAAGAAATTATTGAAACTGTAGTTAATTTTAATTCAAAGATAAAACTTTCTTCCAAAAACTGCATTAAAATAGTTAATAATAATTTTCTTCACAGTAAATGTAGCACTTCTCATGCAGACTATGTTGTTAAAGAAAGTTTTACTTAAATGCTATTGTTTTCCTTGACACCTACGAATTTATTTAGTGATACGTATTTTACATATTCGAATAATATTTGCACAAATGGAAAATTAGAAGGTCAACAATTTTTTTATATCGGAAATATAGTACCCTAGAAGTAGTTTTAACACAAATAAAAAATATGAAAGTTGATTATGTGAATATTTAGAAATAAATATGCTGACATTTAAAAAAGTTGTTATATCTGATTTTAGGTAACTACTTTGAACAAAGATGAGACTAGAATAGTCAATTTTTAGTGCAATTAACACCATTTCGATATCGGGTCCTTTCAGCGAATTTACGATCCTCTGAACGTGAAACTTCTAAGCTGATTACACTGATTAAATTCTTAAATTTTCTTAAGTTCATGGAATTGTTTTTTAAGATAAATAATAACAAATAAAGTGAAATTACTAATCTATATTGATGGGTAATAACCTTTTTATTCTCAATTGTAAAGGGAAAATTGGACTATTAATTTTATATAGGTTGGAACAGTCTTTGAAGTCGTCATAACCAGTTTATTGATCAGATCAATCTTACGTATTGGTAGCACTTCTATACAAAAAAGTATGAGCCGACCCGGGTGCTTAAAAAGGAAAACATTTAATAACAATTTGAATACATTTTAGTCTCAAACTTTATTTTGAAAGTTATATCTATACTGATATATTTATAAAATAATCTATAATAAATTATTTGATTATTTAATAATTTTTTACAGAATTTTAATCTCTTGATTTGAAGTTAATAATAATCAGCTACAGTTATAAATTGATTTAGTAATTCTAATATTACTGTTTGAGGTAGTTGTGAAACGGACATATTTAATTTATTATTATATCCCTCTCAATTAAAGAAAATTAATTATTGAAAAATGTTAGTTTTAGATTTAACCGGATGCACATATTAGCCGACAAACAAGTCCAACTCATATCAATATATATATAAATTAAATAGGTGAACAGTAAATTCGCATAGCAATATGTTCTTGTCAGAAGAATAACAGATTAATATCCCTTATGCGATCTCTAAGCTGATAGTCGTAAATATATTTTAAAATGAAATAAATAAAAGTCAAGTACGGCTTTGGGTCATTTGGCTAATGAACGCTGACTCTGAGCATCAAATTTAACAGGGCACGAGTTTGATTCGTGGTATTTGCAGTATCATAAAATTATTTATAAATAATTAAATACAAGAATTATTTCCAAGATGATGATTGGTATTTGGCAATACTTCAAACAACTCAAAATTCAATTAATTAAAATAATATAAGAAAGAATTTGTGTTGTTATAGTTCACTACTTTTCGAAAAACATCTTTATAAATAAACAATGAAATAGAGGAACAATATTTTTATATACAAAGCTCATTCGATGAAAATGACACATAAAAAAATTACAAAGGATTTGCTCAGTACAAGGAAATGAAATTTCAAACCTTATAGGCTTTAACCCGCAAACGGCGGATACTATACCACAAGTCAACACATCTCAAAAAAGGGATGGGTCTTATACCTATTCAATGGCTATTGTATTAGCTGTGTTGTTTAGCGCACAAAAAGTAAGAATGACCGTTTTAGGTTATTATCAGTTGAAGGACAACAAATCACATATTGACAGCGTTTCTCTACCAAGGCTGTGAGTGATAATTTTTAAGAGGTTTTACTGGGTCATGTCGATTACAAACTTAGTTAGTCGTATCTGCTTGAATACTTGTTACAAGTTGGCATAGTTTGGGTATATTCTAATATGTTTGCAACAGTTTACTAAATTAAATTCAATAGAACAACTATTATTAAGTGTAATTAATTACGCATAAATAACAAAAAAAAAACAATTAAAACTGCATGAATCATTACTGAGAAATTCGTGATTATTAGGGCGATGTAAAATTAATATGTCAAAAATTTCTAATTGAGTTGTCAGTATAAAGATTCTGTTACTTGTATAATGCAAAGTAGTGTCCATATTAATTGTTATTATGACGCTTAGATAAAAAATAATTATTGTCTATAAATGTAAATTTGTTAAGCACACTTCATAAATATGTAAATAAAATAATTTGTTTTTTTATTCCAACATGTTGTATACTACAAAATCATTAATTGAATTAAATATTTTTATATTTTTATTATTTAAATTTTCTTATTGAATTATTTACAGCAATTAAGTAAAAATAGTTGAAATAATCTAAATATATGTTTTCGTCAATTCCACTCTTTGTATGGACTTATTAGGAATTTGCAGTGAAAACTCTTTTAATGGAAACAGAGATCTCCTGTTGAACGAACAACTCCAATAGAGAAAACATTTGAAAGTCCAAAATGAAAGGTTTGTTCATATTATTTGGATTAGCTTAACACTTTTTGGTCGGATAGACCGATTGATGATATGTGATCGAGTTCAAGAGTTTTCACTGTACTAACACAAACTTTTCATAATGAATTATGGAATTCTTTTTTCATTCTGAATCGGAAAACTTGATTTCTTGTAAACAAATTTATAAAAACATTTGGATTTTTAGATTTTTTTAGATAAAATTAACAAGAAGAACGATTTTTACGAATTTTATAAATCGTTAATTACTTTACATCTGCCATCTGTGACATCTATAGTTATTTATTCTTAAGAGAAAAATAAGTTAAAAGTCTAAAGCAAAACGTTTTTAATTTTAATTAGATTTACAAATTATTTTTAATTAGTATTTCTTGATAATAAATAAATGGTTGTCATAAATCGTAATGACTAATATTAACCTACTAAATGCAAATTAAGCCAGTCCTTTGGCAGTCTCAAAGTTAAGTTAGTGATATGCTGTTCTGATGAATATTTCATTTACTAGTATTTTAATAATAGGTTGTCTTTATAATCAAAAGTCAATTTAAACAATTTAAAAGTTAAAAAATTATTAAAGTACATGAAAATAATTGCTGCTAATGTATCACTTTAGATATAGGTGCCTCTTAGTGACGATATCTCTGAAGTCAAAATCAATCAATTGATTTCAATTGCTATTTAATAATGTTATTTTACGTCAAATAATTTAAAATCAATTATAATTAATTACAATGAAGTTAACGAGCTTAACAAAAAAAATTATTTCATCTTAAGTGGTGTTTTTTTTTGCTCTAAACTTACCGGTTGTATTATGAATTGGGATGAATGTGCTTCCTTGCTGGGTGTCAAACCGGTTATGTTATTTTGCAGATCAGGATCACCTTCCATGAAATGTGGATAACTTAGTGAAATTGGGAAGCCATAATAACAATCGGTGACATCAATTAGGCCACTTGGTTGGCATTTACCTAAAAGTAATAAATAAATAAATAAATCAATTATAAATAGAAATATATTAAATATGACAAAGTAAACACTTTTGAATAAAATGGTGTATTGAGGTGATTTCTCGAGGTCATTGTGGGCGATCATATTTATATGAGACGAACTGTCAGGTGTACCTCTTATCTATCTATGTAGAAAATACTTACAAAATATGCCACATTCTCAGCTAAGTTAGTTTGTATTATTTCTGAATATTAATTACCAGAATTACAAAGTAATTAGAATGAGTGTTTCTGATATAGTGTCAAATAGGATATCAAATATTATCAACTTATTTGATCTACACATAAAAAATATAAAATTTTGATATTCATTTGTCATTTATAGAATTAAGAGCAACTTAAATTAATTTCGTATTTAAGTAAATTTTGATTCAACTTTTTAATAAATGACTTTAAATACAGACTGTGAAAGTATTTGCATATCAAGAACTCAATGCGATTAGCGATGTCAATTGTGATTTAGTATGACAGAGCAAACGCAGTTTATTTGCTTAATAATGACTACTGCTTATAAATATTCATAGAGAAAATATTCCACTATAATTTTGTATAAATAAAATTAAATAGTTGTTATTTCTTTAATAATTTTTACATTTCTTTTTACGGAAAATTTTTAATTCCATTAATGAGCTCGCTTTGCAAACTCGTATTTCTTTGACTATATAAATTAAAATATTAGATGCGGATTTAATTTTATTTAATCTAGACTTTACTTATTTTTGTTGAAATAAGTGAAATTTATAAGTGAAATTAAAATATTAAAACAAAACAAATTAAAATGCATTTAATTGATAGAATATTTATAATTGATCCATAATTCTGACGTAGAAAGGGAAATCATATAACATACTCTTACACAATAATTTAATTGGCGGAATATTTTTAATTCATCTATAATTCTGACGTAGAAAGGGAAAACATGTACTCTTGAATTGTAATTAAACAATTATTTCATTTAATTTGCATAGATTAAGAATTTAATAATGATTTTTTAACTATGATAATAATGTTCCAGTACAAAGTCTGTATTAGAGATCAACAATTCTAAGAGTTATAGGAATTGCTGATCTTTCTTCAGATTTTTTTAGAAAAATTCCTATTATTATACTTGTTGCGTTAATATTAGCCGATTAAGCAGATATTACACATTATACTTGGTGTTACAACTTAGTGCGACGTCACTTACTATTACACATCATGCACTGCCAAAATTATTTTCAAAACTCCTCAGCAAAAAAACAACAACAAATACGAGTATACTACAAAATTAAATTATGCATGCATTTAAACGATGTTTCTACTGCTATTCCTTAAAATAGAATGAAATTTCCATGTTAGCCGATAAAAATCTGATTGTATACGAAAAAAAATGAGCAAGTCTGACGAAAAATTTGGTATATTTTGATTTTCTTCTAGTCCGAATCGGTCTACCACTCACGCTAAGTAGCGTCAAGTACCAATTTTTTACCGGTCGAACCTGCCAAGTCAGTGTAGGGTCCTCTTTATTCCTCACATTCCCTGTCGGCGCAGGCGTCCCTCAAGGCTCTGTGTTTAATTCCCGCCTTTTTAACATCTACACTTCATACATTCCCTTTCTCCCAACCCCATTAAGCAATTATGCTATGCCGAAGATTGTCTAGTGTACATCATATCCAAATTCTCATGCTGAATATCTTTCCAGGTACTACACCACCTAGAAACTCAAACTTAACCCCAACAAAATATCTTCAATTCCTTTACGGGTAGGCGAACCGATAGCTCAAGACGATTCGAAGCTAACGACTTCAATTTGCATATTGATGCTACACCCATCCAATTAGTCGACAAGTTTAAATACCTTGGAGTTGTGTTCGCACCGAAACACAACTTCATCCCACACATGACCTAGGTCATTAAGAACGCTACATTTCGGAAGTTTGCCTTTTGGGGTAACTTCCGCCCAAGTGGAACGTTTACGAGTCCTTGAAAGGAAATTTCTTTGCGACTTGACACAAATTTTCCTTTCAAGGCACCAAGTCGTAGCACCAAGTCGTAGCACCAAGTATGATGTGTAATAACCGTTTAAGAGACTTACTCTACAAATGTTTAAAACTCTTTAAGTACAAAAAGCTATTGGGGGTGGGGGAGTCCAGGCCATAAATAATAATACATTATTTCACACTTTATTGTGTGAACGGTAATCTCCCGCGTAGATGAATAACACAGCACGCTACTCTTGATTTTTGTCCGTAAAAACTTATAACAAATTTAAGGTAATCTCAGTGAGAGGTAGTCTCAACTTTTGAATTGAAATTCATAATAAGTTGTGTAGAGATATTTTCATGTATAAGAAGAATGTCAAGCTCGTAATACTCTTTAGATTTTTGTTTTTATAATAACCTTAGCTTTACGATTTCACACAATTCTTTACTTTATGCACTTCTTTTGCCTATGCATATAAAACTTTTCTTATAGTTGTACAAAAACAATTAAAGCCATCATATGCAATGTGCGAACAATGCTCACCTATAAGCAACTAAGCAATAACACAAACTTATGCTCAAATTTATATCCCGGCAAGCAAGTTTTGTACACAAAATTGCTACAAAAAACATTTGCTTTAACGTTATTGAACACATTTTTATAGTTATTGAAATATCTGCCAGGTGTAATGTACTTTACAATAATATATTCATTTATAGTACATCGCGTATAATTTACTACTTCAGTAGTAGACTTGTGCTGCTATTAAATGCCGTGGTATAAAAAGTGCTTTGTTAATTTGTTAATTTAAAGTGCACGTTTTTTAATGGAAATTATTTTATAAAATAAAAACTAATTTATGATTTATTATACTATATAGCATATCATGGAATAATTATAAATTGTTGCACGTGAAGTGACCTCAGCTTAATTAGGAAATATACTTTGTCTGTGTATAGACATTGACCCCATTGCATTACTTAGGAAATATTTTATTCGATTATAAAAAGTAAGAAATTTTTTGTAAATTGTTTGCAACTGAAAACTTTTAATATTATTGTACTTAATTTATAAATAAAATAAAATAATCAAAGTATCTATGTCTATTAGAAATGGTTCTAACTATAAAATTTATCTTCTTATACTTTATTTAAATTTATTTAAATTGCGTATTAATTTTATACAAAAAAAAAAGGTTAATAATTATTTACTATTTTTATTTGACTTACCTTGTCGACAGAAGCATTTATTATCTGGATTGATTGCACCATTATCGAAAGCATTTTCCTCAAAAACATATTTATATCCTGTTAAGCTTCCATATTTTTTCTCCTCACCAACTCGATGCTAAAAAGACAGTTAAAGAAAAAATAAATAAAAAATTCTTTACAAATGTTTTGTAATTTTATATATTTTAAAATTTGTTGTAATTTATTACTGTTAAAAAATACATCTGTGATGAAAATAATAGTTTATAAATAAGAATTTAGTTTCTTTAACGCACGTTAAAAATCAATTTATACTATCAAAAAAAAAAATAATAAAAAAGTATATAACATGAATCAAATAAAAACGTTTTTATATTGATATTCTTCTAATTTAAATATTGCAAGTTAAACAAACTAATAAACATCTTAGTATTTATCAGACTCTTAAATTTTTTTAAATTTTTAATTTTCAAAAATATTAAATATTGTTATATTAAGAAAATATAAAATTAATTATATTTTAATTCAAATTAAATATAAATTTTAAATTTAAATATAAACTTCTGAAAATCAAATAACTTACCAAATTAATGGGTCTACACATGCTCTTTCTAAAGAATTTGATTGTGTCGTTCGGTTGGAGGAAACTCTTAAACTTAGTACCATCGGAAGCATTACCAATATTACTACAATGTTCACCCTTCCATTGTGCTAAATTTTCAGAACCACGATATGTAGCGTAAAGGCCAGATATGCTAACATCTGGTATTCCAGTATGAAAGGTTTCATAATCGCCTCCAAAATCATACATCTAAATATATTATTTTCATTAACATTTGCACTATAATTCTGAACCATAATTTATACTTACTCTATCGATGAGACCAACTTTTTCAAAATATATCCAATTTGATAAAAATGTATTGCCTATCGTTATTAAGGAAGACTTATAATCAAACATGAATTCCCTAGCAGTCATACGAACCAGTGGTTTTGAATTCGTAGAATCTAACAATTTATTTAAACCATAACGATGAAAGCTGGTTTTCTTTGATGTTATATGTGAAATAGCCTGCAACATAGAAAATAAAAAATAACTTAATAAATATTTAATAAATAAAAAATCAGTTATAGTAATTTAGAAAACATAAGTAAAATAGGGCACCATCTTCCAAGACCTATCAAATGCATCGACAAGAGGCTTTTTAATCCCGGTGCACATAAGTCTTAGAAAATGCACGATATTCCAACTTTTTTGTGACTTTTTTGTATCCGAAAATAACACTACGAGGAAGCAGGGTTATCTTCTGCTAAAAGCAAAATGGGTGTGTGTAGATATTTTATGTTCCTCAACCTCAAAAATAAGACTATTTGGTTATTAATAGTCCATGAGTGCTGCATTTCTTAGAACAGCTTTACTCAAAAGGTATTTCAAAGCGATCGTAAAAAAGTGCACAGAAGGTGTTAAAGAACACATCTCAGTCATTTTGCGAAAAATTGTTGGAGAATTGGGTCACTGGTATAGTTACAGTAAATACGGTTTCTTTGATCGTTCATTTTTGTAAGTAATCACATTATTTATATAACAAGAATTCCCAATTTAACTATACTTGTATATTATATTTTTGTATTTAATAATACACCTATCTAGCAATTCTGAATATGTAGTATACAGAATGTATATCAGTCAAAAAAAAACTATTTCTTTGATCGTTTTTTTTTGTAAGTAATCACATTAATTCACCTTTCAATTTTACCTCACTTACATATCAGGGAGGTTTGTGGACCACTACCAGTTAAGGCCATTAATATTAGCTGTTTGTAAAATATTATTTTTTTGCTTTTAATGATATACCTATCTAGCAAATCTGAATATATAGTATACAGAATGTATATCGGTCAAAAAAAAACTATTTCTTTGATCGTTCATATTTCAAGAGTAATTGCATTATCTGTACATTAGGAATTCTTGATTTTACGTAAGGTAATATATACCAGGGTGATTTGTAGGCCAATATCAGTCAATATCAGTAAATAATATAAATTGAATATTTTTCTCATCTGTTTTAAGCGATATAGTTTCATACAAAATTCTCAACGTCATATAGTAATTAAATGAAATCAACATTTAAATGAATGTTCGAAAGATTTAAAAAAAATGTGTATATTGCGAATTTCTCTATAAAATGTTTCTATAAAACATTATAAAAAATGTAACATTGATTACAATCAAAATTTCAAAATATGCCAAACAATATTTCAAAACATGTCGAAACAAGTTCAATCTTATTTAAATGCAGTTATTTGCACTTCAGAATTATAGTTTACTACTAAGCAAAGTCAATAAATTGTTTAGAAATTAATTGCAGTAATTCGGATTTTCTTGGCAATGCTCATGAAGTCACTTCGATCAATGTACTGCGTCACTCAATGCAAAAGCTTAGCTTAAACGTTTACACTTTGCCTATTAGCAATGAAAAAATTACTGCAATTAATTTGAAATAAAAATACAGTGGCTTATTCTATAATTTTTAACCATATTCTCTCTAACCTCACAACGTTTTATTAAGTTTTTACATATTTCAACTTTTCAAATGTGCGATTTAGATGTCTTTTTTGCTATCTCAAGTAGCAGTGCAGGTATTTGGACATAATTGCAGTGTTAATTTGAAAGCCGCGCTCAAAGTTGCTGTTGCTAATATTGAGTTGAGTTGCAGACGGCTGACCGAAAATGGTTGCAAGATCAAATGACCTGTAAAAACCCAATAATCTCCATGAAAAAGTAAGTGAGTGCATTGCCATATATTCGTCGAGTCTAATCGAGTTTAAGCAACTGCAATTAAATAGTTCGAAAGATTTTCTAGAATAATCATTTATACTGAGTGTGTGTTATTTTCTTAAACTTTAGACAATTTGTCGTGAAATATGTGATTATCATTTATAAGGTGGACAAAGGTAAGGCACAAAATTAATCTAAGAGTGACTGATTAATATTATTGAATCTTTCGAAAGGCATAGCGTTTCTTCAAATATCTGTAAGTGTAAGCCACATTACAGTTTATGCCGATGTATGATGACGGCATTTATTACATCATTAAAGTCACTCAAGGGAGACGAGATAAATCTGTGATGTTGCATCATTGCACAATGCATTGCACTTTCGAATGTTGTAAAGTATGATTTTCTTCTTTGATGCAATGGAAATTTGCAGCTTGCAAAGTAGGTTTATGTGTTTCTCGGGTATTAGGAAAACTCTTAACCAATTTGTACATATGTATATCGCATCATCCGCAAGACACGCCGTCTTGTGTACATTTTGTTGAAAATGTTTTTGAGGTTGTGCCATATTCAGCGGTAAAAGTTTTTACTTTTAACTTTTATATTCATTGAAAATATTATCTTAACGATTTTTGGTACATAAAATTTATTAACAAAGAGTTAAGCTGAAATGGCATAGGATTATTTGCCTTAAAATATATGAGTATGTGCTGATATATGCTTCAACTTCAACTAATATATGTAATGAATTTTATACTTCAAAACTAATTTGAAGAAGTTGTTATGTTGTAAGTTGTATTCAGTTAAGTAACTCATCACTAATGTTAATATATTAAATATTAACAGAAATACTATATATCGAGTATTCATTATGATCATAAATAATTAAAAAAATTTTTCAAATTCATAAAAATTGTTATATATATGTTATAGTACAAGGACTTATAAGATAGTTTAATAGAGCACGGTTGTCATTATCAGAATATATCGAATTTCCATGCGTCAAAATTTGTTTGATTTCAACACTCAGAGCAACTTTTCCTCTATATGCTTTAAGTCAATATAGTTTAGTTCTCGAGATATAAAGATTTTTAGTTATATGCTTTTGATATTGACAACAATTGCAAAAAAAAAACTACACGCAACTATTGTTGAAATTTGAAAGAAGCAACAATTTATTGTGATTTTGTTAAGTTATACAGCTTTTATAACAAATTATTATTATTTCAAAGATATTTCTAATTTTTATATTACTATCTTTTTTATTTACTTAGTATTCAATTTCTTACTATTTTCCTTTCTAATATGTGCCTTAATTCGCGAGTAATAAATAAGCACTCGCAGCTTACTGTCGATTCTACATTGAGCGGACATATTATTGCAATTATTTTATTTTGTACAGCTGCCGTTTATGCGTTCGTTCTAATTTTAATAACACAGTAAGTGCAAATATCAACAAAAAAAAAACATATCAAAACTAAACTTGAATAAGACAAATTAAATGTAGGCATTTCAAGCTTTGCTAAAGGTTCAAGGTGGGTTTTAAAGTTCTAAGTTCTTTTCTTATACGGTAACACAATAGATCAGTTAGCCTAATTGGATGCTTTTGGATCACTGGTATAACTTAACCTTACTTAAAATTATATATACTAATAATAATATAAATATTATTTTAAATATATAATTGAATACAATGGCTTTTGTAACTATTAATATATAAAAGTCTTCATCCACAAACATGTTTGAAAGTTTTGGATCTGGAGAATTCTGCTGTTCACTAAATGTATATTCTCTCATATATCATATCAATGCTTAAATATATATATTATGACTTTTTTTACTTTTATATAGATTACATTTGGTGATGGTTGGCCAATATACTAAATGGTTGATCTGATAGATAAAGAATCTTAAACAAAAAATTTGTACTTCTATTATGATAGTAATATCACAGTTAAGAAAGAGAAAATGTTAAAATTTTGACATCTTTGATATTTTTGCAAACTTAGTGGACCCACTTAAATTGGAGAAGGTAAATCCATAACAAAACTACTAACCGTCTAATGAGTGATAATCAATCACACTTAAAATCAACAACTGGAAACTAAAAGTTTGCTGTAAAAGTGTAGAATTAATAACATTATATAAAAAATAAATATTTTTATGACTGGGGGGAAACACCAATTTAGTTGGTGTAAAGTTCAAATAGTGTTCGTTAAAATGAAATATTTTTGCTTATCAATGTATCTTGAAGTTAAAAAAAATTTTAAATTGAGAAAAGTGTAATAAATTTGTCCAACTTTTAAATTATTTTTATTTTTAATCAGTACACATGAATAATAGTAACTAGACTCTTACTTTGTTAGGAAAGAATAAAACTTTTTGGGTAAAATATAAAACATAGAAAACTATTAGAAATAATTTTTAAATTGCATTATAAATTATTCGCCTTTAAGGCTGAATTTAATATAAAACGCATAAATTAGATCACAGAAAAAGCTATTTACAGAAAAACCAAAAAATGTTTATTTTAATGCAAGATATTGAGAAGCTGGGCATTTCGAAATCATCAAACAAATGCTTGTTGGAGATATGAAAATTACACTTAAAACTCATTATAAAAATGGCAAACTGATTTTGCACTTAGGTATGTTATGTCGTAACCTTTTTGAATTTTTCGAGCCTTGTATTTAGTTTCTTCCTGGTTATTTTGTGGTACATCTCATTACTGATATTATGCACTGTTTGTGTTTCTATGAAATGCGATTTAGTTTTAGTTCAAACAATATATAAATTACTAATAAAAATTCGGAATTTATTTAAATTATTTTAAAATACATTATACATTATACAGTAGTTAAAAGGGCCTTAAAATTTGGTGTTAATCTATTGGTAAACACCAAGAAGTTGTTTGATTTTCCAAAACGAGTTCGTTGCTTAAGTCTTTCGTTTAAAATTTTATTTCACGGTATTTTTTTGTTAGTAAGAACGCGAAAGTTAAATAATAATAAATTAATATATTTACATACATAAAAAAAGACCGCCAGAATTTTGGTTTTTTTTGTAAATTGTTCATAATGTAAATTGACAACAAATTATGTAAACATTTGAATATCTTACTTTAAATTGATTTATGTAAAACACCTTACTTGTTTAAAATAAACTTTGAATTAATAAAAAGAAAATAACAATTAAGATATTTATTTTTATTTTTATTAAAAAATAATATGCAACTAGATAAATGAGTATTATAGAAAAAACATAAACACAATGAGTTGAAAGACCATAATTTAA